TTCTTAAAGTTGTTCCTTCTGAGAAGGGAGGAGAATGTTTAGGAGGCTTGAGTTAACTGACCCAAGCTATGTGTAATGTTTTTTGTGTTTTTTTTTAACAGCAATAAAACAGACTGCAGACAGTTGTCCAGAATGGCAGGCATAGGGAGTCTGTTATACCTTCTATATGTTGTATTCTTCTATATTAAATTAATTTTATATAAAAATAAAATAATCCACAAACCAGACTGAAGCTGAGCTGCTCTGAGGGAGGTGACTCGCTCGCCTGTCAAGCATTCCCTCACCAGGCAGGCAGCCAGGAATGGGTTGACCAAACTCGGAAGCCAGTCTTGCCGGATTGAATCCTGATTCTGACACGTGCCAGCTGTGTGAACCAAGTGAGTGGCTTAGCTTTGCATGTCTCAGTTTCCCCGGCTATAAATAGTAGTGATTGCAAAGTGCTATCTGATTAGGGGGAGTGGACAATGCCAATTGTTTTTCCCATTTGCCCTACCTATCCCACTCCGTAGGTCCCTCTGACGGCCCACATTGGCCACAAGGAGCCATGGCTGGCTGTGGAAGAGGGCAACTCTGCTGGGAGCAGGACCCACCCAGTTTTAGCCATCATCTGTCTCCCTTGCTTGAAGTCCCCAGTAGCCTAGAGTTCAGTATTCCCTCCCCAGGAGACGATAACTCACATCTCTTCATTCTTCATCAGCAATGCCCTCGTCTGTGTGCTCCCTCCATACAGGGCTGGGAGAATGCTATGGATAAAGCCCTTCAGAGCCAGTCCATGAGCTCTAGCAACACCTTGGCAGGCAGGCTGACTGAAATCCCAGTTCACAGAAAGGGAAGCCCGAGCTCAGGAAGGGCAGGCTCCTTAGGAGGATGTCCCCAGTCCTCAATCACCTCCCCAGGGTTCTGGTCTGGGCACCCTTCAGTCTTCACAGGGACCAAGGACACTGAGGGCACCTGCCACTACAGGAAGGGCTGAATGGCAGTCAGACTTGGGCCTTATGCTCGAGATGGGGCTGCAGGGTGGGCAATGTCAAACCACTCTGGGACAGGTGACAGTACGCCCACTCAGTGGGATTCAGCTCCAAGGGTATCTGCATCATGTTTCAGGTCATTCCCATGCTTGGGGAGCTGCTTGTTAGAATGGGTCCTTCTCTGTTGTCCTATCACATGACTGCAGAGACCTCTATCCCTCACTCAGAACAGGACCCAGCCCAGCTTTTCCCTGGAGCAGGGAGTGCACTTTGTCTCCAGCCAGAGGCTCTGGGGAGGATGAGCAGTTGGTGAAGAGTAGTCTGCTATTGTCATGGCGAGCTGGTGATGCTCTAACAGAACTGCAAGTGGGTGGGTTAGCCAACAGGATGTATTGTCTGTTCTGGAGACACAAGGTCCAAATCAAGATCTCAGCTTGTCGACTCCCTCTGTGGGGCTCCCCAGATTGGTGATCCTTGGCATGTTTCCCCCAGGTTACTCTGCTGTTTTAGAACTCAGAAGTGATTAGATTTAGAACCCACCCAACAGTGGCATGACCACATTAACGCAAGGAAACCAAACAAGAGTCCTATTTAAGGCATTGTGTCCTGGAACAAAATGGTCACTGGGAGCTGCAAATGCTGCAGGACAAATGCTTGAAATGCCGTTCTGTCAATGAAGGGATGGAGGCCCACAAAGGTCAAATGACAACTGTCTGAACATTGCTGCCCATCTGACCTCTAAACTGCCTCATCCTGGATGCCCAAGTTCTGGACTCGCTCCCAGCCTGGTGCAGCAACTCTGAGATGCAACATTCCCAAAATGCCCAAGACTTAAGAGTTTTGGGCTAAACTTTGGAATTATAGAGGAAAACAGATCTCATACAATACTATTTGAGCGTCAAATGGTGCTAAAAGCAGTTTTTAGTACCCTTTATAGAGTGAGTCACTTGGTTAGTTTGGGAACAGAAAGCTGGTCTTGCTGTGTGTCACCTGATTTTGTAAATGCACCCTATTGGGCACACTTGCCACCATTCAGGGAGAGCAAGACTCTGGCTTTGGGCCTGTGTGCCTGGTAGCTTTCCTGCTGTCAAACTCAGCATATCCAAGATGGGTGAAAATGACCTCAGGGCCCTCGGAGAAGCCAGTCAGCCAGTGAGACTCCTTTCCATTTCAGTCTGACACCTAGTCAGCCCTAAAGGATTACTCCCCTCAGGCATGGTCACCCTACGAGTAGCCAAGAGAGCTAGTCCCAATCATGAATACAAGGGGAGCTGTCTGCTGAGGAGCCTTTCAGGAACATGTGTTTAGTCATCGGAGAGAGAGAGAACTCCACTCTTCTCTTCTTGACACTGCCAGGTGATCCCACGCCTAGATCCTGGCAGCCATCTTATATCCCTGGAGGGGCTACCTGAGGGCAAAGCTGACATTTACTAAGTACCATATGCAGATGACACATCCTTGCTTGCTGAAAGCGAAGAGGGCTTGAAGTACATAGCTGATGAAGATCTAAGAGCAGCTTTCAGTATGGACTGCACTTCAATGTATAGAAACCAAAAATCCTCACAACTGGATCAGCAGACAATATTACAGTAGACAGAAAATATTGAGGTTGTCAAGGATTTCATTTTACTTGGATCCACAATCAACGCCCATGGAAGTTGCTAAGTGCCGTTGAGTTGGTTCCAACTCATGGAAACAACAGTCAGGAAATCAAATGGATGGATTACATTGGGCAAATCAGCTGCAAAAAACACTCTTTAACATCTTAAACAGCAAAGAAGTCCCTTTGAAGACTAAGGTGCAGCTGCCCCAGGCCTAGTACTTTCTACCTCTTTGTATGCAAGTGGAAGCAGAACAGTGAACAAGGAAGACCAGAGAAGAATTGATGCATTTGAATTAGTGTTGAATACACCATGGATTTCCAGAAGAACAAAGCAATATTCCTTAGAAGTGAGTATGGCAAGACGTTTTCTCCTGTACTTTGGATATGTTGTGAGGAAAGACCAGTCCCTGGAGAAGAACATCATGCTTGGTGAAATAAAGGGCCAATGAAAAGGAGGAAGACCTTCCATGAGCTGAGCTGACACAGTGGGTGTAAGAACAGGCTTGAACATAGCAATGTTTGTGAGGAGGGCAGAGTATCAGATGCTGTTTCATTGTGCCGTACATGGTCACTATGAGTTGGAACCATCTCAATGGCACCTAGCAACAACTGTAAATGTAAACTGTGAGTGGTTTCAGTGGGCAGCGTGAGGGCAGGAGAGCCAGGAATAGTAGGCATGAACATTCAAATGGGGCAGAGGCTGAGGGGGCTTGGGTTGCAAGCAGCAAGAGGGGATGCAGATGAGGAGTTGCAGCAGGCAGGGAGAGTGGAAGTAATAAAGGGGGCAGTGGTCACAAGGGGGACCAAGCGGATGGGTTGGTGACCTTGAGAGATGCAGACAGAAGATGGAGTGGGATCCAAGATAGCATGCCGAAGTGGGAGGAGCTGGACCTGGGGGAAGAGTGCACCATGTTTAGGTGCAGTAGGAACAAAGGAGTCGGTGGAAGCAAGAGGTGCCTGAGGGAGGACTGTCGTGACGCCTGGGGTCATGGGAGGCCACCTGCCCTGTCATCATGCTCTTGTGGGGGACGGCATGCTTTGGTGGCAAGTGAGAGAGAAAAGGGGTGACGAGGATGAAGCACCAATCTCAGCAATGACCACACTCTTTTTAAGAAATCAGACAGCACTTTATTAAATAACCAGGTAGAAACGCTCGCACTGACATCAAGTTGTCAGTGTGGGCTCAGGTCATATGAAGGCACGACACTTCCTTTCTCCAGTGGTAGGAAAATAAATTCCACAGCTCAGCCCCAAGGGACTGAGGCTGATTCACACTTCATGTTCAGAGTCAAACTGGACTCCTGAAATGCAGTGTCTCTGAGGGGCTGGCTCTGGGGAGTCTCCAGGCCCTCCTGAGAGGGGTCCCTGCCAGGCCCTGGAGACCTAAGGGAGGGGCTCGCAGGAGCATGAGGGAGGCCCTGACACCTCAGCCCAGAACCCTCCTCTTTGGCCACAGGCTGTGTGGTACCTGTGGGAGCTGCCTGGAGGGTCTGGGCTTAGAGAGTTGACCATGGGGCCTCCTCTCACAGGGCAGGACAGGGGCTCAGGTCTGCTGAGGTACTCGAGTGCTGTGTAGAAACAGGAGCAAATAATACTGTCTTTGTGCTTAGGCAAAACAACAACTCCTCCAACAAACCAACAGAAGAGTATACGCATCTCTGACTCAGCTGTACGAATGATGACCAGACGCTCATGCTGAGGAAAAGGCCAGCCAGTGAGAGCGGAGGGCCCACTCAGGCCTCCCAAGACATGCCACCTGCTTACAAGGGAGCCAGAGGACAGAGGTCTGGTCACAGTGGCCCAAGAGAGGGATGGTCAGGCTCTACGTCTGGTGGGTTTCTGGCATCTTGTCCTCAGGCATTCCTTGCACCCTGTATGCCTGAGGCTGGGAAGGGCAGAGGCCGCAGACATCAGGGCATCACACCCACTCATAGTTCTAACTTCCTAGCAGCAGGCAGACAAGGGGGAAAGCAAGCTTTCCTAGGGAAAAGCCCCATAGAAATAAAAACGTCACGGAAAACTCTTTCCCTGAGAGCACTACAGTACCATCATCTATAGACAGAGCTTCAAAGTGCTCCAGCCTTGAGGAGTGCTCGGAGCAGCTCTGGGGATAAAGACATGCTAGAGGGACACAGCAGCACACTGTCCACAAAGCCTAGACCGTCAGGTCTACAGGAATAAGCACGTCTCCTATTAAAGAAAACCACACCTAAATTCCTACTTGGAAGCAGCAACAAACAAACACAACTGAAATCATATATGGCAAAGGAGCTGGAAGCAGGATGTGGCCCAGGTGTGGGGCGTCTGGGTCTGGGGAGCTCGGCTGCAGGGGTCCCCGAGTACGAGTGGCTGGCTCAGGGTGTACACACAGGGGCTGCACCCACATCAGACCTGCAGCCTCCCATCACCCAGCCCCACAAGTTAGTTGCCTAATGGGAGGCGTAGGCTGGGCTCCATAGCCCTGAGGGAGGGCTGGCTTTGCGACCAGCAGGAAGTGCGTTGTAAGACGATGGTGATGAAGCAGCAAAATCTAGAGCAGAAAAGGAGATGAAGTGAGTCACGGAGCAGGAGACGGCCTCATCCCTCAAACACCCACCAGTGCCTGCGTCACACAAGGCTGGAGATGGTGCTAACCCCAGGATGCCAGCAATGCAGGGTCAGGAGGACACCATAGGCTGGTCACTGAGTTGGCCCCTACTGATGTGGGTGGCTGTGGACTGGACCATGCAGTACACACAGGAAAGGGCTCCCTGTTCACATCTGGGAGGGAACAGCATGCACAAAGCGGCAGGGCCCAGAGTGTTTGGAAGGCCCTGACACACAGTGTGGGAGTGCTGGAAGAAGCAATGGTGAGAGGGATGGGTCACTGCAAGCAGAGCTACATGGACTATTGGTGTGGTTGGTGACTATTCCACGGCTCTCCCAAAGGAAAGCTTCATCCATGTGAGAAAACAGCCTGCAAGACAGTGAGGGGCCCAGGATGCATGTGGGAATCTTGTTACCCAGAAAGACACATCTGTACATAAAAACTTCATGACTCCTTGACACTTAGCTCTGCTCCTTTAGCCCAGTGGAGACTCGGGGTCCGGGCAGCTACTCACAGTTGGGGCTGTGCCGAGGGCTGGCTCTGGGGGTGAAGGCTGATGTGATGGTGAGCTCTCGGGGGGTGCAGACCGTGTGGTAGGCTGCAAGAGGGCAGACTGGTTAGAGCAGGGGTTGGAGGTGCCCATCAGGGACCACACAGCACCATACCTCTCTCACCTATAATCATGACAGCGGTCCCAGCCAGAAGGGCAAACAGAGTGAAGAACATGACTTGGTAGGAGTCCAGGAAATGCTGGAAGAGGCTGGCCCCATCTGCAGTTCAATATAAAGAACAGGTGGTGGTGGTTCTGGGGATGGAGCTCTGGGCCAGAGTTCAGTCCTGAGCACTGCCACCCTGTGCTGGGTCTCTTTCCACCTTGGAACACCGTTTCCTTGAGGAAACGCTCTCCTTTTGGAGTGGCTTGGTTTCTGTAGGCAGGTCAGGTTTCTGTGACCATGTGAGTGTAGATGCTGTCTGTCTGGGAGATTGTGGGCAAGGAGGCCTGGGCGCCAGCAGGGCACGCCTTCATGACAATGCTGAGTCATGACTTGGAGCTCTCTAAATCCAGACCATGTAGCGTGCAGTTCAGCATCTGTTGTGGGTCAGTCGGATTGTGTCCCCTCAAAAGATAGGTTGAAATCCTAAACCCTACAGCTCGGTGAACTTGTTTGAGAATAGGGCTTTTCTTCTCTGTTTAGTTAAGTGAAATGAGGTTATGCTAAGGCAGGTGAGAGTCCTAGTCTCTTCTGAGTTGTTATCTTATAAAAGGGCAGACAGACATGGAGACACACACAGGGCAAGACAGCCTGTGAGGATGAGTCTACAAGTCAAAGAATGTCAAGAAACCCTGGGGGCTACAGGCAGTGAGTGACAAAGAAGGTCCCTAGAGCCAGCAGAGAGCATGGCCTGCTGACCCACCGAATCCATACTTCCGGCCTCCAGAACAGAGACACTAATTCCTACTCTTTAAAGTCACCACTTTGTGGTCTTTTGCTATGTTGGCCTTGGAGTCTAAGAAGGCATCTTCTGTCCTAAAGCTGTCCTCCCTCGAGGGTGACTCATAATGCACTGCATCCTAGATTTTCCTTCGCGTCACCTCTATGCCTCAAACCCTACCAGTGACAGAATCCTGCTGTGTTTGCCCCTACAAGATACCCTAAACCTGCCTCCTCCTCCACTCCACTGGGGCTATCCTAAGTTAGGATACAGCCTTGCTTGGAAAGAAGGTTGTGCCTCCTCCTCAAGGCCCCCTTAATGCCAATCCCATCTGGGCAGCCCACTGGGCTAGTCACTGTCACGGTGTAGAGCAAGCTGAGCTCCGTCTGCCTCGAGGACTCCTCATGACCTTGCATACTCCAGCCCAGTACCAGAGTCCTTCAAGGAGCCACTGGACCTGCCTCTGCACTGCAAGAGCTAAGTTAGCCTCCTGCCTTTGTGCCCTCTGCTGCCTTGCCACAAACATAGAATCCTTCCTTCTTACTGCATTCATGACTGTGTCTGCTCCTTCATCAGACCAGCACACAGTAGGTGTGAAATCAGGACTACCCAATAGGTGACTTCATGCATTCTCACCTAATGTGTATTTACCGAGTGCTTACAAGTATGGCTGCTAACTTCAAGGTTAGCAGTCTGCAACTATCAACTGTTCCACGAAAGGAAGATGAGGCTTTCTGCTCCCCTAAAGATTTACAGCCTCGGAAACCATATATAGGATCACTATGAGCTGACTCCATGGCATATTACCACCAACCATCACTAGTGTAGGTAAGGAGTCGTGGTGGTGCACTGGATTAAGTGCTCAGCTGAGCACTGAAGGGTTGACATTTGAACCCACCAGTCACTCAGTGGGAGACAGATGTGAAGGACCCTAGAGTCACCATTACCAACTGTACTGAAAGGAATCGGTTTTGCATAGAGTGGGAGACAATGTGGAACAAAACTCAAAGCACAAAAAAGACCAGGCTTACTGGTCAGATAGAGACTAGTACAACTCCCAGGACTCTGGCCCTTAGTTACCTCGTCAGGTCTGGAGCTCAATTCTCAGCCAAACAATAGACAGATCTATGAGAGAACAATAACACTAGGGAGATACACACACCTTAGAATAATCAACCATTTAAGATCCAAAGGGCAGCATCTTCCCAAGGGCAAAGTTCAGAAGGGTTAGGAAAGGAGCGGGAAAGGAAACAGGAAACACAGGAAGGAAGTGGGATAAGTGCCGTTGTATCATGGGGATTACAATCAATGAGCTGAAACAAACTGTGTATGAAGTGTTGAATGGAAAACTGATCTGTTAAAGCTTTACCCAATTCACAATTAAAACATTGGAAAAAAGAAAAGATTAACAGCTTTGGAAACCTTATGGGGCAGTTCTACTCTGTCCCACAGGCTCACTGTGAGTCAGAACCAACTCAAAGACAATGGGTACTATTAAGTTGGTAGAAAATAGTCTAATTTCTGTCCTCACAGACTTAAATTCTACAGGGGAAGACCAGCACAGACATAATGGTTAACAAAACCATCTTAAACTGATTGATGGCATCAGTTTCATTGAGTTAGCAGTGGGGAGAGTACTTAGGAGCAAGAATGTAGCTTAAATATGACCCAAGAAGGTTTGAAGGAGGAGAGGAAGTTGGTGTCGGGGAAGTGTTCCAGGCAGAGGGAACAGCACATGCCAAGAACCTGAGTTGGGGCTGTGTGTGTCCCAGAAACAGGAAGGCCAGCAAGCCTGGAACCGAGTGTGTAAGGATTGGAAAGGTAGAGGATGGGACCTATTGGGCCATGAAAGACTTGGGAGTCCCTGGAGGGTACTGAGCTGGGAAGGATGTATCATCTAGTGGCAGGTTAACAGGCTCCCCCTGGTGGCAGCGTTGAGAATAGACTGGGGGAAGGAAAGGGAGCAAAAGAGTTTTCCCCTTGCGACAGACACCCTGCCTTTCTGACCTCCCCAGCAGTGCATAACTTACGAGGACCCGGCCCACGGCGATCCATCACGAAGGCCACGGTGACTGGAAGGCTGAGGGCTTGGTTGGTCATGGGGCTGGCAAAGGTCAGGGCAGTAGACAGGGGCCCCTGGCTGCCTGCTGCAGGGTCGGAGATGCTGACTGTGTATGTGACAAAGCTGGGCAGTCCGAAAGACTTCTCCTTCACGTAGGCCAGCACAGCAGGGGAGCCAGACTTTACCTGGGAGGATGGTCAGAGCTGATGGGCCCGCAGACCCTGGGGATGGAACTGTTCACCCCTACTCCACCAGGCTTGCTGTGCTTTCCACCCCCCAGGGCCCACTTCTTGGGAGCTTGATAACATTTCTTGGGCATTTCTAATGGACAGCATGCCATTTGCAAAGGCAAAAAGCACTCTGTCTACACCCAGGGTGATTTTAAGGAAAGAACAAATCAATACCATTGAATTCTAATAAAGTGCTTTTAAAGAAGATGCTAAACCAACATGAACAGCTCTGAGCAGCACATATCCAGAAGCAGGGATGCAGCACGCCTAAAAAGCTCATCTCCAGCAGCCCCAGAGCCAGGCCTGGCAGATCCTTCAAAGTCAAAAACGGGCATTCATCCTCATCTCTTGCAGTGACTGTTTAGCTCAATTTGCTATAAGACCAGATCACATCAGAGCCTCTCCCCAATGCCAAGACCTCAGGACCAAACTTAGTGGGCGAGGACAACGGGACCAGAGAGAAGGGTCTGCCCCGGTGGCACAGCGAGTTGTCAATGTGTTTGGAACTAGAGCTTTCTTCACTGCTCTGCTCTGAGATGAGGTGGCCCAGGACTTCATCTCCCCAAGTCCTCCCGGAGGCCTCAAGGCTTGCCTGATCTGAGACACACGGGCCCACAAACCTCCAGGTTCTCCAGGATCTCTGCAGCACCAAAGACCTTGACCTCGGAGCTGGTGTAGTGGTTGCTCAACAGTATTTCTGCCTGGTCAGTGTAGAGTCCTGGATTGAAGGGCACCTCGGCTGACAGCTGCTCTCCAGAGAAGCGGCTAGGCAGGGAGGCCCTGACCACCAGAGCTGTCTTTTTCATGCTGAGGTGCTTCCGCTGCTTCTCTGCCAGTCTGCGCATCACGATGGTGCAGAGGTACTGGCCTGCAGAGACAAGGTTGTCTACTGCCCTCCACTCTTCTAACTGGGGAATTCCTACTCGACCCCCCCCAGCCTCAGAGGGGCACCTCTGCCTACAGGAGGCTTCCCAGGGATTCCTCTCCAGGGCCCTGGCTCCGAATCATCTGTTGCTGTGTCTCTGATGGAGTGACACTTCCTGGGGCAGGGACCTTCTTGGGTCAGCTGTCTCCAAATGGGTAGATTACTGTGTTGCAGACACGATGAGCCAATGTGAAGCCTGACTCGCTGGAGATTATAGCACCAGGTGCAGCAGAGACCTGCTGCAGGCCTGGCCGAGTGCACAAACATGAATGGAATGAGCTCGGCCCAGCACCGCCGGGAAATCTCCCTAACCCTGGATCCTGGACACCTGGGGTCCCTTCCGTGGCAGCTGGCCCTCTGCTATTCTTGGTGAAGTGGGGTTACAGATTGAATTGTGTCCTGCTTCCTACACCAGTGATGTGAACTCCTTTGGGGAAATGTGGTTTTTCTTGGCAGATGTTATCAGTTGTGCTAAATGAGGTCATACCGGAGAAGGGTGGGTCCTGATCAGAATCCCTTCTGAGAAGACAGAAGAGAAGGACATACATAAAACAAAGTCACCCACAGGGGAGGACAAAGCAAGGAACACCACTAAGTACCCAGAACTAGAGGGATGAAAGGAGTTAAGGGCATGGCCATGCTGACTTCTGGAACTGGGATGCTGAGCCTCCACAACGTCACTGTGGGGCCGATGCTGGCATTCAAGAGGATGGTGGGGCTCCACCACTCTTGTTGTGTGCTCTGGCCTATGTGCCCAGCCTTGACCATGCTCTCGCTCGCTTCTCTCCAGAGCCCCTGTCCCACGTGCAGAGCAAGGTGGACTCAGTCCGTCTCAGATGGGGAGCTGAGAAGAATACAGCTCCAAAACCCACTTTCTGCCAGGTACAAGTGGCTGCTGGTCTCCGAGTGACACATGCAGTCAATTGCTCAGCTAAAATGTTCGTGAGAAAAATCTAATGCAAAGCTATCGGGATTTTTCCATAAACTTTTTGAAGGCCCCTCTCATTAGCGGAAAGGCTGGCAGTTCAAGCCTATCTAAAGGTGTCTTAGAAGACAGGCCTGGCAGACACCTTCTTAAGGCAGAGCCTTGATAACCATGGAGCCATTCTACTCTATACACCTAGGCTCACCATGAATCAGAATCAACTTGATGGCAACAACCGGGTGGCTGCCGAGAACTGCCCAAGAGATACAGGCTCCCAGTCCCTCCTGGCACCGCCACCTGGAGGACTCAAGACGTCTAAGGAAGCAAAGCCATGTGTGCACATGGTTCGCGCTCTCAGCTCCTCGGCACCTACCCTGGGCTGCATCAAAGCCGGGCTCCACAGTGAAGATGTCCTGTGCTGAGAAGTCAAAGACGTCATGCTTGAATTGGAGCTGGCAGCTGATGAGGGACTCTGGGTGCAGACTCTTGATGACTTCCATCTGGGCAGGAGAGCAGTCTCCTGGAGATAGGCATGGGGTAAGAGGGCTGTGGGCCACCTCGGGCCTCTGTCCCTGCCTCCATGGGCCCACCGCCAAGGGAAAGAGGAGGGCATATATAGGCTAGCTGGTCATGCACACCACCTAAGCCTACCACTCGCCTCCTCCACCCAGGGGAGAGAGTCATTCTGAATCACAGGCCACTTCAGAACTTTCCCCCACATGTTCTGGGGCCTGCATTCAAGCACACAGCCCAGTGCCTGTCAGCAGGCGAACATGGCGATCGATCACCCCCTGCAAACACTGCACATCATCTAGCCACACTGTGCGCTTGTACTGAGGTAGGAAAAGGAAGTTTCCAAGCTGGAGTAAGGCTGCCTCGTTTATCAGAACAAGAACAGCAGTAATTAATTCCACCAGTTAAATGGGTTTAAAAAAAAAAAAAAAAAAAATAGCTCCTATTGGTTTGTTTATTCCTGGCTGCATGTTCAGGGCTGTCATGGGCAGGGGATGGGATTGCATGTTTCATGCATGACGCAAGGTAATTTTAAAAAATCAAAATGAGTGACAGGCCTACTGAATTCTTGGTTTCTGGGGTTATTGGTGTCAGATAGTGGCTTGCTTTACTTTGGGGCCTCAAGGCTGAACAGCGTGTCGAACTCAGAAGCCCTGATTCTGGGTGCTGGGCTCTAAGATGAAGACTCTGACATGGCTTCTGCAGTGAGGGCAGGGGCTGGATGCTCATTGTATAGCTGTGCTGAGTTTGAGCAGGAAAAGGGGACAAAAGCCCATTCACTGCCCCCAATTCCATACCTCTGAGGTTAGAACTTCTGTCTCCCAGGGCGATGGTGACTCTGGAGGCTGTGACCTCTGGGGAGCGAGTCTGGACATGACGGGCCACGATCCTCGCAGGGACACTGACTGTGACCTGGGGAGGGAGCCAAGGCAGCACTCTTGAACGCCAGCCAGGCTAGGTGTGTCCTTAACACTTTCTGCAGTCTACGATGACCCATTTCACAGAAGACAAAACTGAGGCCTGCAGTGCCAATGACTTCCTGGAAGGCAGCCGAGCTGGGATTAGGAGGCGGCTGGTCAGCCCTCCTTGTCCAGTGCTCTGCCACCGGTAGACCAGGGAGCAAAGCTGCAGATTGGAGCTGGCAAATGGGTGGTGGGGATGGGCTTGGCTCCTATAACAGCTGAGGTAATTCCTGTGTTCATAACTTGAACTGAATTACTCTTTTGGCAAAGGGAAAAGGACCATTTTACTTAGTCATTTGTTCAGAATAAATGAGCCTGGCCAACATGCAGCTCAGGTAGGTGAGGCTCTCCTGAGTCCCACCTACCTGGGTCCCACCCTGCTCCCCTTGGCCCATCCTGTAACCCAACCACCCAACCCCGCTATGTACACCTTCCCTGAGGCTCCCTGTGCCCGCAAACCCTCCCACCTCCTGAAAGCCCAGCCTGCTTGCCCCTCAGGCCCAGATCCACTCAGTTCACGGTACTTCCTGCTTCCTATGAAGGACTCACACATCTGGTTCTGATCTCCTCCCCTCGCCCCAGTCCATTGTGTGTCCCTGGAGAGTGTGTCCTGCCTGACACAGAACGTTCTGACGGGGAGGCTTCCATCCACCCCACACTCTGCCACTAGATGATCCTGGCCTGAATATGTCCCATCTTGTCTTGGCCTCTTGCTCCTATCCCGGCCCCACTCCCTCCTCCACACCTTGGAGACTGGTCCTGAGGCCTTGCTCCCCTCCCACTCTATCTACCGACCCCATCTCTAACCTGCTTTCGTCTGTCTTCCTCGCTAGTGTCCCGATGCCCAAGCCCAGTAGTGTCCTGGCCGGCTGCACCAGAAGGGCCACCAGCACCTCTCTGCCCATCCTTCCTCCTCACCCCAAGTCCTCCTCCTTCCTCAACCCCCATTTCCCAAATGGCCATCGAACTCTGAGGACCATCCCTCCTGGACTCTCGTCTCTGTCCCACCCCATGGTTCCTGCTGAGGGAGGGCCTGGTCTCAGTCTCCTGACTGGCCACCCTGCAGGCACAATCACCTCATGGCTGTGCTGCTGCCCCAGCCCAGTCACAATGACCTCTCCCAGTCTTACATAAGCACTGACCTCTTCCCCTGGAAATCTAGCAGCTAATACTTCCTGTGTTGAGTGCTATTCTGAGTGCTTTGCACATATGGACTCATTTAATCACCCCAACAATATCATATCATATGCACTTTACAGGCAAGAAGACTGAGCTACAAAGAAGTAAAATTACTTACGCAAGGCCACACAGCTTCTTCATGGCCAAGCTTAGATTTGAACCCAGAAAGCTATGCTCCAGAAATCACAGTCCTGTACCGAACTACCTAGAGTTAAAGCTGTTCACGATCCAATCAGAGCTCCCCACACTTTCTCCCAGCCACACCAGGTCCCCTCCCACTCTCAGCAGCACCTCCAGGAGGGCACAGCTTGATTAACCACAAAGCATCTTTCAACAAGTGGCTCACCAATTGCAGAGTTGCATATTAAATATGTAAGCTAATAGGTTAACTGCTGGCTCTAAAACCGAGATACAGCTGGAGCTCAACCAGCCTTTCCTCGCTGATTCATTCCTGTTGGTAGATACACAGGGAAGCGAGTACTGATGTTCACCTCTAGTTAGACTCAGAGGAGGCTTTCTGGTGATCCCGTACCTTGGTGCTGGGCTGCCCACCCATGGTTCCCAAGGACATGCTCACATCAGAGGCGACCACCCACACTGGGTGGGGAGGCACTGGTTCTCCGCCTTGTCATCACGCCATGTGAAGATGGGGAGAAGGGGCCTCTGAAGAAAGGGAGCTAGACCCCAGTGCAGGCTCCTGACTCCCAATCCCAGCATGGCCCAGAAAGGTGGCGTTTCTGTCTTAAACAAATGGGACTCATTCAGTATCGAAAGCAAAGGTTTCATCCTGAGAATCAGCTCACCTCCTTGTAGGTTCGGAGATGTCCGGCCACCTCATAGTAAACAGTCACAGATCCCACATCCCTGGCCATGGCCACACCTGTCTTGGGGTCGATGTGGAGAATGCTGTTGGCTGAGGAGCTCCAGGTTCCCGAGAGGCCTGGGAAAGAAGACCCTGTTGATCCCAATTCCCCTTGTCCCATGCCTGGACTCTTCATCCCAGCCCCACTTCACCTGGACAACCACAGCAGCCTCCTCAAGCCCTCCCCACCACTCTGTACCTGCTGGCCCAGCAAGCTCACTCATCACCTGCAGCCTGTGCCCACTGGCCTCTGCATGGCTGTGCTCCCATTTAGAATGACCCCAAGAGGACCTGATGGTTCTCCCTCCAGCCTCCCTCCCTGGCCCACCTCCCTACTTGATACTTAATTCCATCTCAGCAAACAGAAAGTAGACATCAGCTCAGTGTTGCCACCAAGCAACAGTGCTTAGTAAAAAGTTAATTACATTGTACAGTAAATACACTGAAAACATTTAAAACACTTTCTATTTGCGGAAAATTCTACTTGTTTTCCTTAGAGGTAATATTTAATTTACTTTTAAAATAAATTTAATTCGATAAATGAAAGAACCAATTAGAAAAATCACTAAGTACAAAACTGTATGCAGGATGTGAATGTAGAAAAACCAGACAGGTGCTATGAAAATGACTTAAATTTGGAAACCATTAAACTAGCCCAATATTCTTTACTTAAGTCTCCTAGACATGGTTGTTGTGTGTTATTGAGTTGGTTCCGACTTATAGTGACCCTGTATAGGGTTTCCAAGGAGTGGCTGGTGGGTTTGAACCGCCAACCTTGCATTCAGCTATCCAGTGTTTATCATTGGGTCATAACCAGGACTCCCTCCTAAAGCTATGCAGTCCAATATTCTGACTCCAGTAAATAAATAACAAATTCAGTTCTTCAGCGGCATGAGCCCCACTTCAGTAGCTAGCAGCTACCTCACTACAGTGCAGCCGCAGGACCGTTCCACAAGAGCAGAAAAATTCGATTGGACAGAGGTGTTCCTGGACGGTATAGTCAATTATGCCCCTGACTACTAAGAGAAAGTCTGGAGGTTCAAGCCCACCCAGGGGCTCCTTGAAAGAAAGACCTGGAAATCTATTTTGGACAAATCAGCCATTAAATATGCAATCAAGCACAGTTTGATTTTGATACACATGGAGGCACCATGAGTTTAAATCAATTTGACAGCAAATCTTGTTTTGTTCTAAAGCAGGAGTCAGGAAATATTTTCCTCAGAAGACCACAGCTGCTGTTGTCATGTGAAACTGTCCCTGACACTCCAGATATGAATGAATTGGCAAGGCTGTGTGCCAATAAAACTTTATTTGCAAAATCAGGCGTAGGCTGGCTCTAGTTCATGGATGAGAGTTTCTGAACCCATGTTCTACAGCATCACCCAGGTTGGACTTCCTTCCCCTCCTGGGAGCCCACTCCCACCTGCGGAAGTGCTAAGGATAAAAAAAAGTGTCCCGTGCCAGTCAGTATTCCTCTTACCTTCTAGGCTGGTGAGTGTGGTGGTCAGGCAGAGGATGTCCCCCACCCAAACAGCTCCAGACAGCTCTGGGGAGATGGCCTGCAGCACAGGCAATGGGACAAAGTCAGCAAGGCCTATGTGTTCCACGTCCCACACGCGGAGCAGTGTCAGGCCGACGCTGATGGTCCGGATGACACACGTGTTGTTGTTGGGTCCCTTCCCAATCTGCACAAAGTCGTCTCTGGACAGAGAAAATGAGGTGCTCAGTCTTGGGGACAAAGCCCTAGCTCCAAAGGAAGAAATGCAGCCCAATTTCTCTTCTGAGTGAAGCTGGAGACTAAGTCCCCAGACGTCACTCCAGTGCACCTTTCCCAAGCAGCTACCCTTAATCAGGGTGCAGCACTCATCACCCTTAGGACTGAATGCACATCCTTAGCTGGGAGCTGCTGGCATGATCACCCCTATGTTTTAGAAAGGGAAGCCAAGGCCCAGTGAGGAATGTGCTCTAGAGTGTTTTCCACTCTTTCCACTGGGGCTCTAACGCATTTCAGATGGCAATATGCGCAGCAGTTGGCACACAGGTCTTCTCTGCCCATCTCTATCTGTGCTATGATGAGCTGTGATCAGGTTGGCCCCCATCACGCTAAGCCCATGTACAATGGGGGAAACACTATGCAGTGTTGCACTATCCTGTGATTGGTTGCATTGTGATCCTTGGGGTTTTCATTGGCTGACTTTCAGAGGCAGACTGTCAGCCCTTTATTCCTAGTCTGTCTTTGTCTGGAAGCTTCACTGAAACCTGCTCATCATTATAGCAATATGCAAGCCTCCAATGCTGGAAGATACATTGGCCAGGAACTGAACCGGGGCCTTCTTCCGCTGTAAAACTGGATAATAATAGTTTTATTATTATCAATTAACAAGTCCCAGAATTGCTGCGAACAGTAAATGAGATCAGTATCTACAGAGTTCAATAAAGTGCTTGACACCAAGGGGGTGCTCAGTCAGCATCAGCTAAAGTTGTTTTGATGAAAGGCTTGGCTAGATGGGGAGTGGGGTCCCTGCTTCAATTTCCCTGACCATGCCTTCAGACTTCACAGATCTGGTTTTCTCAGGAACAGGAGCTCCCACCTCAAAGGGCCACAATGACTTCTGTGGAGCAGCTGAGAGACGGGGAGAACCTGGCCCCATTTCCTCTAGGGCCTTTCCCTGGAGCTCTTTCCCTCAAATCCCACTTCTTCCTCTGGGGATGGATGCTAGTCTGTGCTCCTTCAGAGCATAGGTTCTCAGCCTGTAGTGTGTATCAGAATCACCTGGAGGACTTAAACAGATGAGATGGCAGGGCCCTGAGAATGTGCGCTGCCAGGCGTTACAAGGTGATGTTGCTGCTTTGGAACCCCCCTTTGAGAACTCTGGGAGAGTCAGAGGCTTTAGCAGGCACAAGCTGAAGCCCAGGCTCTGTCCCTCATTCAGGAGAAAACTTCGCTCCTCACACTAGGACTGAGGCTACACTGGAACTTCAAGTGTTCATCAAATACAACTGAAGCTGAAGTTAGATGGAACGTAGAACTGAAACCCCACTTCTTGGCTACAGCAAGTGGACACGGAGCTGTGATGTGGAAGGGCACACAGCAGGACTCCATTCAGGCTGGGTCCCTTTCTAGCTCACTTGAAGTGTGTGGCTTTGCTGGGGAAATCAGCATCACCCACACCCTACCTGGTAGTTGCAAAGTTGAGGACTGAATTGTGAGCATGGAAGATGTCTCCAGAATTATCGTGGAAGTAGACGGTGAAGGTCATGGTCATTCCCAAAGGCAGGGCCGCCAGAGCCTCCTTGCTGTGGGTGTGTAGGACAGGGCTCATGGATATCCTCAGGTAAGAAACAGGGGACACCTGGAGGGAGAGAGCAGGCACTGGAATTGGCCTCCCTGCAGCATGGCTGGGCTGGACCTGCTCGCTCCTGGAGTGGCCCTCCCTCATGCCAAGGCTTACCCTCCCACACCGTGAGGATGGCCCACATGTATGAGTCACAGTCCAGACCTGGACCACCCAAGACTATGACTCAGCCTCACAGAAGGACCTGCTCTTGGGGGGTGTGCTACAGACGGTGTCCTCAGGTGTAGACACAGAGTCCCAGTGGGCCTGCATGCCGGCCGGGTAACAGAGGAAAGAGATACTTTCCACATCCCAAGAACCTGAGCTCCATCCATGCAAACCTGATTCTCTGACTCCAATAAAAGTCATTCTTGGCCCAGAGCTTGTCCCCCAAAGTCTGCCTGTCAAATGCTAAGCTCAGTGGAACAGTATCTGGTAAATAGCTGGTGCTCAGTAAATATTGGTGAAATAGGATAAACAGTCAGCCACTTTCATTTACTCACAAACTAGATTGGGGGGGGGCGGGGGTGCGGTGTGGAGCTCCCTGCCAGGCACCCACCAAGGAATAAGGAGACTTTCATTTAAGGATTTTGGCATGGAAGTAAGCAGAATCTAAACATTAGAGAATGTATTGTCTCCATCATACAAGATTCAGAAAGAGACTCTTAAGATAGGAAAAGAAAGTTCTGACCTCTAAGGCCCAACCAGGTGATGCAGTAAAGAGAATGTCTCAGAAATGTGGGAGCACATGGGAGGTGCTGTACTGTAACAGGAAGGGCATAACTGGGTTTGAATTCAAACTCTGACTCAAGATACGTCCACTATGCCTGCCGTCATGAGGGTCAGATGGGATCCAGTCCATTTATACTCTTGAGAACCTATCATGTACCGGGTGGCACAAAGTAGGTCCACCAGCCAGCAGTGATGGAGTTAGTGGTCAGCTTGGTGGACAGAACTCTGGTCTGCCAGGCAGGAAGGACACTGGGAGCCAGTCTGAGCTCTGCAGCAAATAATGGACCTCACGGGGCCTCAGTTTCCCCTCTATGGAATGAGGAAGCTGGAATAAATATTCTCCAAGGAGCTTCAGCTCTGACTGACAGATGGCACGGTAGCATTTTATCTAAGACCTTTGGTCCTGTATTAGTCTGTTGTTAAGTGCCATCGAGTCGGTTCTGACTCATAGGGACTCTATATAGGATTTCCAAGGAGCAGCTGATGTGTTTGAACTACTGACCTTCTGGTTCACAGTCCAGTGCTGATCCAGTGCCACACCAGAAGTCTGTACTATGGCTTATTTACTTCAAAAAGGAGTATAATACTAGCTCACCTTTACAGCCACAATGATGGTCTGGTTGGCCCCAAAAGGTTCTTGCGCAATCACTTCAACTGTGGATGTGCCAATCATGGATCCCGATACCAAGAAACCTTTGTCATCAATGTGCACGACAGGAACTTTCTCGGGCCCTTCCAGAACGCGGTAGCTTAGTGACGCTGCACCATCCCTTTGGAGAACAAAGCAGACCTGTTTTTACTGAAGGCAGGAAAGGTTCCAGGGTTAGGCCTGAGACCCACTGCACACTGTCTGACGTCAGCCTTCAGCTCACCCTCTGGCCCTGACTGCTTCTGGGAGAATACAGCCCCCACTGGCCCACCTTGCACCAAGGCCACATGCTACCAATCTGTCTGTAGCCTCATCAGTCACGGAAGGAAAACCTAATTTGGAAAACTAACGGTTCCAAGGAGAACGTGGCTTCTCATTCTTCCTGAGCAGAGCCTGGCACAGTCTTGTTGATAGAGAAGGCTGACTTTCTCTCATCAGCAACACTGGGTATTGTAAAAGATCGTTCCTGCAATACATTGTGCTTGACCTACTGCAGTAAGGCAGCCTGGTGTATTGGAGACACAGTGGGACTTCCAGTTTGACAGAACCCATTGTCGACTCCAGATGTTTTTTCAAACATCTGTGTGCCTTTAGGCCCAGCACTTTGCTTCTTGGCCTTGGTTTTTTCTTCCACTGTGAAAGAGGATGATGGACCCTGTCCTGCCCATTGCCTAGGGCTGTTTAAAGGATGCAGCACTATATTCTGAGTGGTTTGTACACCGTATGACTACTATATACTGGACAGGAGATAAAATACATACAGTGTTTTATGCTCTTACCTCTTGGCAAAGAATAATAAAGAAACAGGAATACACCCTCTTAACTTCTTTCTGTCCCATCCTATAGAAAATCTACTGTCTCTGTCTAGATGTTCTTCCCCTGGTGAACTCCTATTCATCCTTTAAGATCTTGTTCAAGCATCTCCATCTGTGACGTCTTCCCTAAATCTACACATGAAGGGCCCCCCTTCTCTGGGTTCTGGCTTGTTTTACCATATTCCCCTCTCCCCATTAAGCTCAAGCTTAATGCGGCATTCAGCTCTGAGTCTACCAGAGTCTGGAGTGTAGGTAATTTTGACCGGATGAATATTGTGTGTTTCATGCAACATCTAAGTGATCCTGTGGTCCATGTAGCAAGTACAGCTTTAATACAAGTGTATCGCCACCAAAGGTATCCCCACCTTCAAGCCAAAGTCAGAAATGTGTATAGATGTGCTTTAAAAGAAGGCTAACATTAATGTGCATCACCTGGGAATCCTGTTAAAATGCAGGCTCTCAATCAGTAGATCTGGGGTGGGGGTAGGGTGGGGTCCCAAGATTGGCATTTTAAAGCCTCCCAGGTGATTCTGCTGCTGGCCCATGGACCACACTTTGATTGGCAAGTCTTGAAAACACAGGTGCACTTGAAAAATTCAATACTTTCATGTTGGTGCTTTTCCCCCTTTTAAATACTGAATGTTCGCATCCAGCATTAAAATGCTTTAGGATCCAGAGAGGAGAAGAGAGATGGCAGGGAGATGCAAAGTCAAGGAGCAGAGAGAGTCGGTGGTGGATGTAGAAGCTGCACCCACTTCAAATGCTATACCCAGAAAGATGCACAATTCACTAAAGTATTACCTTCCTGACAACTCTGACAAATGAGCTACTGGATGCAAGCACAGCTCCCCAGCCTTGTGGAGAACAGGGACTGAGTCACAAACCTGTTTGTCTGGAGCTTTATAAATGAGTTGGGTGACATTAATATTTGTTCTGTTTCTATTTCAGGGTTCAGCAGCAGCAGCTTTTCAAATACCTAGGAGAGAAGGCAAGTTTTATTTCTTATGAGTCCCTCCCTAGGTGATGCAAATAGTTAATGCAGTTGACTGCTAATGGGAAGGCTGGTGATGTGAGTCCACCCAGAGGAGCTTTGGAAGGGAGGCCTAGCAATCTACTTCTAAAAAATCAGCCACTGAAAACCCTATGGAGCCCAGTTCTCGGAGCGGCGATAGCCAAGTGGGGATGAGGGATGAGAAAAACTGTTATAAGCTACCATCTGTTGTTAAATGCCCTTGAGTTGGTTCCGACTCATATCGACCCTGTGTAGAGTTTCTGAGGCGTGGCTGGTGAGCTTAAACCGCCCACCATGTGGTTCCAACCAACCTTGCAGCCCAGTACATTAACCCTCAGCACCACACCAGAACTTCCTGGTGTTAGTACCTGGTAATACTACCTGTTGTTGTTGTCGATTCTGACCCATAGCGACGCTTTATAGGGTTTCCAAGGAGCGGCTGTTGAGCTTGAATCACCAACCCTGCAGTTCAAACTGCTTTGCAGTCTGACGCATTAACCCACAGCACCACACCAGGACTCCAATACCACCTGTTAGTAACTGGTAATTTGATGGTCAGGGCTGGGCTTTACAGGAAGATGGAGGAAGAGGGGTGAGAAAAAGCAGGGAGCCGCATGCTGTGTACCGGTTGCGGGGCTGCTTGCCTGATGTGGAGGTAGGCAGCAGGTGGAATGGCTCAGGGCCTTGCTCAGCCGTCACTGCACCACCTGATGTTCTTTTCTCTCGTGTAGACCACTTGCTCCTCCCTTTCTGCACCTCAGAACAATCCCTTGTTCACTGCCCTGGCCACTTACACTATAGCAAGACAAACAGGGTGGAAGGGAGCCAGTTTAGTCTGGCAGATGCCGGGCTTGACAACTGAATGAACCACACTGTTTCAGTCACTTCCAGGTGCTCCGAGAGCCTACGAAGCACTCGCCTGGGGTGCTCCAAACCTTTCTCTGAATGCACCCTAATGTAGCCACCATCCTCAAGGGTGTCCCATGCTGGGCAGCTACAAGTGTATTTTGAGCTCCCTGCAAACTTCCAATCAGACCTGCTGGATCCCAAGGGCGTGAGCCCCTGGGCCAACACCCAATATCTGAACCGACAAATGCTCTCCAGGAACATTCTGGCCTGACAACTCTCCTTCCCGGCCCCACAGTGCTCTGGATTTCTTCATCTGTACTATGCCCATCTCAATGGACCATGGGGTTCACGTGATCATAGCCAGTGGGTGGGAAACAGCCTTTGGGAGCTGGGGGTGGGGGGTGGGGTGGGGCATGGCATCAGGTGAGTCCAGGGTAGATTCAGATGCTAGTTTTTGTCTAGTAGGCAACATTCAAGAGGAAAGCAGCCTCACAGATTTTACCTCTGATACACGCAGTGCATGTACTAACTATGTTCCCAAAAAAGCGTGCTCCCTCTTATTTTTAAGTATTTTGAAAGTATTCTTTGTTGTCCATTTTTCTGTGCAGGGGAAGGTCTGAGAGAGATCTTACTGCAAGAAAAGCAAGAGCAAGCACCAAGGCATATGGCAACTCCTCCAGCAGGAAGCAACATGGAATGGTGGGGACTGGGGCAAACTGGAGCACACAGCCCTATTCAAAGGGGAGGCTGCCGCTCATCTTTGGATGATTTTGCCATCTGGGAAAAATGCCATGTTTTCAAGACAAGATGCATATTGCATTTTTATATGAAATCTTTTGATTTTTAAGTGTCGCCAACAAATCAACATTGTTTAAAAGCATTGAGTGTGGCAAGTAAGACACCTTTGTGGGCTGGATCCAGCTTCTCTATAGTTTCTGATTTACTCCAGTTTCATCTGTTGTCAGGTAGGAAAATGAGACACATAAGTGATGGGCACCAGAACTTTTGTTTCTAACCTGGACAGTTGTGTGTGTGTGTGTTTGGGGGGGGAGGGGTTGGGAGTGGCAAGGGGGTGTTTTTCTTTTAAATTCTGCTCTTTATCCCTGGTTGAGTCTGCAGGTGGTATGAGTGGTGAGCATATTTGCTGCTAACTGGAAAGCTGTCATTCAAGGTCACCCAGTCAGTGTACCTTGGACGGAACGCCAAAAAGTCAACCACTGAAAACCCTATACTTTGACACATGCGAGTTTCGTTGTAAGTTAGGGACAACTTAATGGTAACTGGTTTTACTGAGCCCCTGACAGTACGTGTCTAGGACAGAAATGGTTTGTATCTTTTTGAACAGGTGACTTGAGTCCATTCCTTCTCTCTTGACACTTAGGGACTGCATTCAGGAGCACGCAGGGGGTTAATGAATTTCAGAGTAGCTCTTCAGAGCCACAGTGACAAAGCCCCTCTCACAGACAGGACCTGGATGGGGTTGAGGTCCAAAACCAGCCTTGGTGAGTCAGAACCACAGTCTAGGGAAGTGGCACAGAGGTCAAGCGCTGGTGGGAGGAGAGAGCTGGGTGCCATAGTCCAAATGCAGTAAGTCCATGTGGCTTATTAACAGATCTCCTCACCGCAGGCTCAGCTTCCCCCTCTGGCTGCTCCCTTGACCTGGAGCAGGTCCCCTTCACCGCTGTGCCTCCAGCTCATTGTCCTGTGGCAGCACGTCTCAGTGCCACATGAGGATGGTGGTGTTAATGTAGGCAAGTAGAAACAGGCACGTTGGCCCTATGAAATGCTATATGAGTGTTTGTCACATAAACACAGACCATTCAATTAATAGCCCGGCAGATGTTTTTCCAGATTCTGCCTCTCATTAAGGCACTAAGCTCAGATTATTTATGATTTGGGGAGCACATCACGTTATCCTGGCTTTCTGGCCTTTGCATATGCAGTTCCTTCTGCCTGTTCTGTTGGTCAAACCCCTCCCCATCCCATTCCCTCAAGACCAGCACAAATATCACCTCTTCTGTGAGGCCTTGAGTGAATCCCAGTGCTAGACACCCCCAGCACCTTACTCGCCCCCTCTCCCATTGTGATGGGTCTTGCCCAGTGAGCTCAGGGTACCCTCAAGGCATAGATGCTGCACAGGAGAAGAGGGGCCCTGCCAAGTGCCTTTCTGCCTCTTACTGGCCTTTACCTGTATTTGGATCTCATCAGACAGCTCCTTGGCAAGGTTGTGCAGCTGCCCAGCTGTGGGGTCCAGAGCTTTGACCACCACCTTCAGTCCGGTCCGGCCTTTCACTCGGCCATGCACATTCATGGCAAAGTTGTACTGTGAAGGGAGCTGGAGCATTGCCTAGGACAGATGCAAACATGCTTTCAGGAAAGGCCCTATTCCCCAGATCCTGACAGCAGCCTCAGACTCTCCCAGCCTGTCTGTGGAAGGTTGTACAGACCAGCTCCCCCAGCACAAGAGGGGCACACTACACTGCACTGCACTGCATTGTGCAATGTCCACAGGGACACCTGGAAAAGCAGACCAGCTTTCCTGAGAGTAGGATTTCTAAGCACCCTGAGGGACGTGTGTTTCAGAAACAGGAAGCACAGAATGACCATGTGACCTTCTAGAACTATCCTGATATTCCCAGTGTGCTGGGTTTTTGTTTTGTTTTAAAAGGCTATTATTTTTGCTGTTTTCTGTATGGTCTTCTGTCATGATCAGCAATAGCTTTCCTTGTTATGAGGTATCTGGAAAGCAATGTGGGAAAACACAGGATGAGGTAGGAAAAGAGGCAACCCTCCCCACTACATTAGATTACACCTGAGCTACCTGCAGGCAGCTGTCCTGAGCCTGCTTCTCACACCAGGCCTCCACTTGGCTCCTGTGGACCATGGCTCAGCCAGTGCTGGGGTCTGTAGTCAGCAGGCCTGGCTCCCCACAAGCTGGTCCCATTCCACCTCTGGGCTTAGTTAACATACAGAAGAACTTGGCAGGTGCCCCACACCCTCCCACACTAAGAAGCCCAAGGAAGTTTGAGAGAAGGGGAGTTTGGCTGAGCTCTGGGATAAAACTGATAAAAATCTCAGGCTACCAGACATCATCTCAGAAAGGGGGTCAGAAGATCAAGACCTGTGACATTCTAGAACTCTCTGCTGGCTTCCCTTTCCAAGTTTTTTGCTTGCTCCTCTGTAATGAGAAGGGTTGTGGATCAGGCTGGGAGTGCTGGGGAGACATGATCAGGACCTGGAGACACGGAAGGGACTAAGGGAGGGGGAGTGTGAGACAGAGATGGGGTATGTGTGAGCCCCGAGAGCGAGAGAAGAGTCCTGATGGCCTCATGGGCCAGGCGCTGCAGATCCTGTGTGGGAAACTCTGGGCAGTGCTCACCTCATGATGCCGACCTCGGAGGTCCAGGATGTCACGTTTGGTGACAGACCAGTGGAAGGTCAGGCCTGGCACAGCGTTGCCAAATGAAAAAGGGTTCTGGCTTCTGGTGATCCCAGTGACGTAGACAGGCATCTGGGGGAAGAAACCAGACCCCATGAGCCCATGCCAGGAGTGCTCTGGAGCTTGGGGGTGCCACCTGTCACCTTCAGGGTCTAGAAGCTATGCTTAATTCCTCCCAGCAGAGAAGGGCCTGACACAGGTCTAGGAGGGCTTGGGGAAACACCAAATGATCACACAGAGGGCAGGACTAATGCATCACCCACCACAGATGTGCTTTACCTGGGTAGGGAGCCCCAGTTCTGGACCCGATCCCTTCAGCCCAAGCAGCACAACACATACTGCCCAGCAGTCCCTCTCTTCCAGGTCTAACAGGGGCATTAGCACGGGGGTAGGGGAGTGTGACCAGCACCCAACAGAGCCCATATGTGGAGATCATGTAACAGAAGATAAAACTGGGAGCCATTCGGCCAGAGTACATGCCTCTCCCATGACACAGTTGCTGGGTGACCTGGGCAAGTGACTAAACCTTTTTGCTACTAGTATCCATCTCGATACTAGGGAACGGACACTGACTGCTGGCCTCAAGGCTATCGTGAGCACTAAATGAACACAGAGTGCTTGGAAGAGCTCCTGCTATGTGACACGTGCTGGCCTCAGTGTGGGAAGGCAGCAGTTTGGTGGGAAGCAGACGTTAGTAAGCACACAAATGTGGAATGTGAAGGAAAGAAAGGCTATGCATTAAAGGAGCTTGATGCTGTGAGAGCAAATGATGGAGTGATGGTACCCATAGGGTCTGTAGTAGCATGTTCAGGGACATTTCCCTTTAGAAGCCCATAGGTACACAGGAGTCAAACAGAGAAGAGGGAAGTGACGTATCCCACCCAGCACAGGGGATAGCATGTTCTGTGGTGGAGCAAGTGTGGCTTCCCCAAGCTCTTCCTCAATCAGCCTCCTAGAGGAGGTCCCACCTCACCTGGGTCCCTGTTCTCATCCGTGTGATGGGGGCTCGGATCCGCACCGCCTGGAGAAGCAGCACCTCCACCTCCACACGATCCTAGGAAAAAGGCACTAGGGCTCAGGCTGACTCAGGCTTAGAGACAGGTGCCTGAGGAAGGGACTGCTCCCAGGGGAGGAAGCTCTGATAAGGCTAGTCCAGCAGTGTGGTGAGAAGGCACCCACAGGCTGTCCCCCACATGGCCTCTGCTTTCCCCACGCCCTGGGAGTCCCAGCCTGGTTTTCTGACTCCACAGCTGCTCCAGGTCAGCACTCCAGAGACTCTGGGGTAGTGACAGGACAGTTCTCTAGGCCGGGGCATACCTAGCTTCCTACAGGACATATCTCCAGACCCTTCCAACCCCAACTCCAACCAGTCTCTTTCCTTGTCTCTCTGACTGAGCAATGGACAAAGCAGGCTCCAGGGGAGTCAGATAACAGCTGACTTTATCCCTTCTTCAATTTGAGCTCGAAGTTCCTATTAATTTGGGAAAAGGCTAACTTCATGCTGAATCATGCTAAACTCAGACCTTAAACCTTCAAGTGTATTTTATGTGTGCTCATGTGAATCCCACCTCTCTGTCTTGTGATTTGGGCTAACACTCAACACATAGTAGATGATCAATTAGCATTCCTTCCCCTCCTCCTTCCCTCTGTGCTCACTGGTCAGCACCATGACTGTCCTCGCACACACTAACTCTGGCCAGGAACACACACAGGGAGCTGGAAGCATCTGAACAGAATCATAGGCTGAGCCCCTGCCTGCCTGGGAGCATGCCTTTTGGATGGAGTTGGTGGCGCAGGTCTACCATCTGTCAAAGGGCACCAAGGCCTTCCTCCAGCAGTTCTCCCAACCCACCAGATGGGAGACCCAGTGAGGGAGGTGGTCCTGTTAGGTCAGACCACACAGAGGAGAAGCAGAAGTCAGAAGGGAATATGCACAACTTAGTGCCCCTTTGTCTCCATTTCCCACCTGCTGACCTTTCAACTCTCTGAACTCCCCTGGAAGAGAAAACTGAGTCTGTTCCTGAGCTCTTAAGCCTTTCTTGAGAGAAAATAAGCAGGGTTTCTGGAGCCCAGCTGCACGTGGCTGCCACAGAGCAGGTCTGCACATTTCCAGAGCTTTCTTACGGTCTTCACAAAATAAATACACAGAATGGAGGCATCTACCTCAGTAATTCAAAGAGACTTTATGGACACAAAAACTGCTGGGAACGGAGCAAATCAATGGACTTCATTTCAGAGCAAAGTCAGCCGCAGAGAACACAGGTGCGCGTGCCCCTCCAGGTCCACGGACTCTGGGCTCCACTGCTCTCAGCTCAGAGGTGCTCTCAGATGCTTCCAGAGCCCTGGTTCTGAATGAGGACTTGGATGCCTGTGTCCTGAAATGTTACATGTCCACAAGCACATTGTTATTTTGATTGCTGTCAAGTTGATTCTGGCTCATGTCCTTATTCATTGTCCAGCTTTCACATACCTATGACATAAATGAAAATACCATAACTTGGGTCAGGAGCATCTTAGTCTTCAAAGCACTATCTTTTGCAGCAGATTTGCCCAATACAATGCACCATTTGATTTCTTGACTGCTGCTTCCATGGGCATTGACTATGGATCCAAGTAAAATGAAACCTTTTACAATTTCAATCTTTTTTCCGTGTATCATGATGCTGTCTATTGGTCCAACTGTGAGGATTTTTATTTGCTGCATGTTGATGTGTAACCCAAACTGAAGGTCTTTAATCTTTACCAGTAAGTTCTTCCAATACTTTTTGCTTTCAGCAAACAAGATTGTATCATCTACACATGTTAAGTGTCATCAAGCTGGTTCCAATTCATAGCGACCCTATATAGGGTTTCCGAGGAGCAGCTGGTGGGTAGAACCTCTTATTCTTGTGGTTCAAACCGACCTTGGGGGTCCAGTGCTTATTCTGCAGCACCACACCAGGACTCTATACACGGAGACCGTTAAGAGCCTTCCTCCAATCATAATGCTGCGTTCTTCAGACAGTCCAGCTTCTCAGATTATTTTTGTTCAGCATACGGATTGAAAAAGTATGGTGAAAGGGTACAATCCTGATACACACCCCCTTGATTTTAAACCATTCAGTATCCCCTTGTTCAGTTAGAACAACTGCCTCTTGGTTCCGCATGAGTACAATTACATGTTCTGGAATTCTTCACAATGTTATCCATAGCTCGTCATGATCCACATAGTCAATGACTTTGTGTAGTCAATAAAGCACAGGTAAACAGCTTTCTGATATTCTCTGCGTTCAGCCAAGATCTAGCTGACACCAGCAATGATAAATCTCATTTTATGTTCTCTTCTGAATCTGGCTTGAATTTTTGGCAGTTCTTTATTGATGTATTATTGTAACTTTTCAATTATCTTCTGCAAAATTTAACTTATGTGTGATATTAATGATATTGTTCAATAATTTCCACATTCTTTGGAGTGGGCACAAAAATGGATCTCTTCCAGTCGGCTGGCCAAGTAGCTGTCTTCCACATTTCTTGGCTTAGACGAGTGTTTCAGTGATATATCAATTTGTTGAAGCATCTCAGTTGGTATTCTGTCAATTCCTGGAGCTTTGTTTTTCAGCTATGTCTTCAGTGTCACCTGGATTTTCAATATCATGAGTTCTTGATCATATTATAGCTCCTGAAATGGCTGAATGTCGACCAATTGTATCTGGTTCAGTTAGTCACACTACATGAAGTACAATGTTATTCTTATTGACTAAGCTTTGGTATGGCCATGAGCAAGTCCACAAAGAAGCCTTTCCAAAGACGCTTTGTACTGTATGCAAAGGATGTCACGGAGCACATACGTACCCTGGACATTTTAGCCCCTATGCCCTTCTTAGGATGTGGGAAGGATCCCCCCCCCATCTCCTTATCAGAGAAACAAAGAAAGAAAAATGTTGGATCTTAGATGTAATTCCACATGGGGACAGGGAGAGTCCTTGGAAGGGAGACTCTCCTTACTCAGCCTTCTAGCTTCTCTGCTGACCCATAAAGGCAACTGGAGATGTATTCCATGCCAGCAAAAGGCTAGAGAAATGATGACATAACCTCTGGCTGGGCAACAGGTTACCACTGGGCAACTCTTAGGTTTTCTTAGTCTCCTGAAGTACACACATACATGTGTGAATTATTACTGTTTCTCAGTGGTCCGTGTGAAAACCACTGAGCCCATCGGCACTTCTGAACATACAAATGATCCTCAAAGTGTGCGACGCTACAGCCAGCAGCATCCCCCCTCCCCTGCCCCATCCCAACATCTTTAAGCCTTGCTTGAGCCGAATGCACAAGAGGAGCTGAAGCTTTGCTGTGAGGCTCCTACAGCTGCCACATGGGACAGTGGGTCACCCACCTGTCAGTCCCTTATGCTCTCAGCCTGCCTCATGGGATGATAATGAAATGCACACAGGGGTTGTGAGGGCTGAACAAGCAAAGATGCAGCACAGCCATGGTCATGCATCAACCTGGGATATCCTGGGATGGGAAGGAGCTGAAGAGTGAGAGTGCAGTGACTCAGCCTGGAGCAGCCTCGAGGGGCCAGGTGCTGCCCCACATCACAGGGAGGTCCTGGGTCAGGTAACACACACTCACAGGCAGAACCAGAACCCCCAAATCCAACAAACAGGGCTGTCGAGGCTGAACCAAACATATACCAGATGGTCCAGAAGGACCCCAGACGTGGAGGTACGAAGGATGGTGCTACCTCTCTAGGGCAAGTGCTGAAAGCACCCCAAATCCCACCTCATGTCCCCCTACCTGAGACACTATGATGACCTTGCCTGTCTCGGCATCCACAGCCCGCACGACGCCTGAGACGGTGCCATTGCCCACGGCGAGACCCTGTACCAGCCCAGTACTGCTCACTGAGGCCACACTCTTGTCACTGACGGAGAACAGGATGTTGGACTGAGGCTGGGGGCCACCCTCTGAGGTGACCTGGAGAGGTAGGGAACAGGAGAGGTCATCAGTGATACCTCCAGAGGGTGGGGGCTTCCTGGAGCAGGGTACGTGGGCACTTCTTGGCTCTTACCTGCATTGTGGCCCCGATGATTAGGGTCACCTTCCTGGGTATCAGCCTGAATGGGGGGAACACCTGGATGTGGAGACAAAAGGAAAGGGGCCATTGAGTCACAAGCTCACACAGAACTTGGAAAGGGAGACGGAGACATGATGTAAGGAATCCCTCAGCTCTGAGTGGTCCATAGGGTCTGGGGTCTGGTGTCCACTCAGGGAGACCTGCAGGACTGTCAGTACTGCCACCCTCAGCCAGGCACTGTCACAGGGCCTCCCCCAATGCCCACCAGGGCCTGTGCTTCTCCACAGGCATGCTCTGCCTTCTGCATTTCATATCACCACAGGTGAGGCCCAGTCTCATCTGAGACATCCTCTTGGGGCAGTTCTGCTCCGTGGTCACCTGGGTGACAGCAGCAGCATCACCTGGGAACTGCCTAGAAATGCAAAACCTGCAGCCCTGCCCAAGACCTGTAGATACAGAGGCGGGGTCCTGCATTTAACAAGCCTTCTAGGTGACTCTGATGCACATAACACTTAAGACCCACTGCCTTCAAGATTTCCCTAAGGTGAGGGGTTGGAAGGTTGCCTCTTTCCCTAAAGGTCTCCAAGTCTCTACTAGGAAATGGACTTTGAGCAGCTTTCAGCTTCAATTCTCACATCTTCTTAGATGAGGAAAGAGAGGTTCAGGGGGAAGACCAAGGATGAGGATGACCCAGCTCTGTAACCGGACGGTGCCCCAATACCGTATTCTTGCCATCCCCTACTCCCACCATTCTCTGCCTGTCAAGGGCTTCAGAAATGCCTGTTAGGTGAGCGAGTGTCCACGTCAGCCAGGAGGTACTGTGAGTGTGAGGATTAGACTTGGTAGCGTTGTGTTATTTATAGGCAGAGATGAATTCCTCATCATCAGGAGAAGAAAAGCATACTTTCATCTTGAGGCAGATTTCATATCACACAGTTTAAGAGCATGGATAGCTTAAGAGCTAGCATCTGCCAGCACCCATGTGACCAAGGCCCACAGAGGACCCAGCCAAAGTCACAGGACTTGATGTTGCTACTCAAGGACCAACTTAGATGTGGCTTCTGCCATCGCAACTGTGGCCTCTGGTTCTTGTTAACCCTAATGCCACGAGGCAGCCTCAAGTCACATACTCAAACAAGGGATAAGGACATCAGGGCCTGCACTGGGGGCTCTGGGGACAGCTGCTCAGTGGTGAATCTCCTCCCTACATGAGCCAAAATTCCACTGAGAAATTCTGCCCAGCACCAGCTCTCTGGGGACACTTCCTGTCTGTCCCCTTCACACTGACAGCACTTCAAAGTTTAAGGAATGTTCTGCCACATTTCTTGAGATGTGACAAGTCACTGTCTCCCTTGACCACAGTCTAACTGTGCTGTCCCAGACCCTTGGGACTGGTAAAAGTTGACCTTTGATCAAGGACACTGAAGAGCACAGATTTTAACATGACGTCTCCATGGACTATCCCAAAAGTCCCCAGCCTCACACAGAAAAAGCATGTCCCTGATCCCCAGCCCCACCACATACATGCATGCGCATTGTATAAAAAGGAGCAGTTTTACCTCAATCTGCTGTGGGGCTGAGTTGATTCTCTGTCCGGTTTTATCGGTCACGGTTGCAGTCAGGCTAGTCTGGCCAATGGCCACACCATGAACCAGGAACGTGGCAGTGTAGTAGTCGAGGGCTTCATCAAGGGCCCTGAAACAAAAGAATGGGCTGGGCTTCTCACCCCAGGCAGACAAATCGGAGAGGCTGAAGCTGGGGTCCTGCAGTTCCCCGAGACCTTCAACTCTGACCCCCGGGAGGACTCACACCAATGTGACAATCTGGGAGGCTGTTCGAAGCTTCAGGTCCATGAAGGCGAAGTACTTGGCCAGGAATGGCTTCTTGTAAAAGTCCAGCACACGGACATAGGCCTTGACGGTCTTCCCAATCTCCACCTACATTGTGGTGAATAAAGACCTAGGTGTGGCCTCGGAATAACCAACCCCAGCACCTATGACACCTGACATCTGTCTAAGAAAATGTGTTGTTTGTTGTTATTAAGTGCCATCGAGTTGGTTCTGACCCATAGCGACCCCGTACAGGGTTTCTGAGGCTGTAAATCTTTACGGGAGCAGAAAGCCTCATCTTTCTCCCATGGAGCAGCTGGTAGTTTTGAACTGCTGACCTTAGGTTTGCAGCCCGATTCGTAACCACTACGCTACCAGAACCCATCCCAAATCAAAGGACCTGAGAACTGGGGACAAGTAATCCTCGATCTATAAATGAAAACTAGGTGTTTACTGTATACCAGAGTCTAGGGTACTTAGATGCATAAATCACATTCCTTTTTCTCAAAGGACCAACCTTCTAGTTAGGGAGATGGGACACAGCTGACAGGCATACAGTAGGACCTCAATAAATGCTCACTGACTGTGATAGCTAAGGTTTCCCGTCAACTTGACTGGGCCAGGATTCCCAGTGGTTTGGCAGTTGAGGTGTGGTTATCCCTATGGTGAAACCTAATATGGGCATAGTTAACTCTGAGGGTTGGTCATGAGCAACCAATCAATTGAAAGGGTGTTTCCTTGGGGGTGTGGCCTGTTTCCAATATAACAGACATGCAGGAAAAGCTTGCTCTCTTTTCCGCTGGATCTGTATCTCACATTTGGGTCGTCTTCCAACTTTCGGTTCTTTGAACCTGAGCCAGTGGCCTGCTCTATTGTTTGTCTGCTTGTCTGCCAGCTGGGCCCACCCACCAATCTTGGCTCAGCTGACACAGACTCGGGACTCTCCCACCTTTACAATTGTTAGCCATTTCCTTGATATAAACTCTTTATATATAGACATATTGAAGTTTCACTGATTCTCTAGAGAACCCAACCTAAAACACTGACCAAACAGCTGCTTGGAAATTCCCCTTTTCCTAACTAACCATTCTATAAGCTCAGGAAACTAAGAACTGAACCTCAACCCTCCAAAGGGCTAGCTTCGGTTATGGTGTTGTTGTTGTTAAGTGCCGTTGAGTCGGTTCCGACCCATAGCGACCCTGTACAGGGTTTCCGAGGGTGTAAATCCTTACGGGAGTAGAAAGCCTCATCTTTCTCCCGCGGAGCGACTGGTAGTTTCGAACCGCTGACCTTAAGGTTCGCAGCCCGATTCGTAACCACTACGCTACATATTTGAAATAGAAATTCCTTATTTTATATGAAAAAAGAGCTAGATCTTTTATTCAGATGTTTTGCAAAAGTACTTGGCCTTAACGAGTCTTCCTCATTTGCTTCAGAACTTCCCCAGAAGTCAAAAATCAATGCTGAGAAAGAACACATGTTTGGCCCAGGCCTGGACATGGCAGCTTGAAGATATGAATCCCCATCTCCAGGCTAATTTAGAAACAGCTCCAAGCAGGATTTACAGCCAGGCATTAGGGATGTCAGTATGATGAGGAAATACCACATCAGAGGTTATATTGCTAACCCATATGGGGCAGTGAAACAAAAGACAGCCCTGCAAGCCCACAGCTCATCAGGAGCGGGGGGAGGGACACAAGAAAGCAGGGGAAACACCAGCACAGCTCTCACCCCGTCCCAAGGGGGCTGAGGAGGCCATCTTCCACAGCCACACAGGTTTCCTGCTTTCAGAGTCAGCTGAGAACTCTCAGAGTCCACACTAACCTTGTCAACCACCCGGACGTATAGTTCCTGTATGTCTGAGACGGAGACTTCGGTCGTGGCCGGGGCAGGGAAAGCCAAACACAGATCGTGGACCATGACGGTGAGCGTACCCGGCAGCAGAGGATGTATCTGGAACACCAGAGGGGACTTGATTAGGTGGAGAGGGTATGAGGGAGCACTTCCAAGTCCATCTCTGCTCTCAGGGTCGGGAGCAGCTATGTTCCTCTGAGCCCATCAGCATCCAGGGATGTCATGCCTTGGAGACCTTGGGCCAGGGTCCAAAAGTAGAAGACAAGGAAAATCCTAACTAAGTATTGCACTGCTCACCTCATTTCATAAGCCCCATTTTACTTAGAAAGTAAAATGCCAGTGCTGGAACAAAATTCAAAGAGCATGTATTTGAACACTGTACATTGTACAAAAGAGAAGGAAATGGGCAGACAGCGGCCTTGGCACATAGCAACTTGGAAGCTGAGTGAGAATACAAACCCAGGTTCCCATACATACTGCGCCCCAGTCACCTTCTCCTACAAACTCAGTAGCAGGAGAGCAGAACACTGGATCAACTATTGAGAACAAAAGGTGAGGTTTCACAGCATCTGGCTTTCCAGAGATCTCTTTCACAAGTCCCAACATGAACTCACAGGTTCATAGAACCCGAGTTCAAATCTTTAGAGGCCACTCAAGTGTCAGCCCTTTTACTCTTACACATCTCAACAACCTATCTTTGAAGCAGAGCCCTCATAAATGATCTTAGTGAAAGAACAATTCTTAACTAGTGTGTTCCAATCTTTTCACTGTCAAAGATTCTTTTTCAATCTTCCTCTCTCTACCCTCTCTAGAGATCCCACCTTTATAAGAATCTCTCTCCTACACCAAATTGCACTATGACTACTCTCTCATGCTGCAGACATCCACACATCTAATATCTGTTTACTTAAGGTAGGTTTGTATAAGCTTCTCTTATTGTTTAGGCGTGTATTTCAAACAAGCAGACTGTGGAGCTGGGGCTGGCAGGGGTGAGTCACAGAACTTGTTAAGTCCAGCCAGGTTACCATACAACTCTATCTAGACCTGACTCTGTTGCTTGCTGTTTGAGGTCTTATAATCATGCTTTTCTTTTGGGGAGGGAGATGATCTTTACAGCATCAACTCAGTGTTAGAAAATGCAGAATTTGCAACTGATTCACAATTGTCAAGGACTTGTAGAAAGTCATTAGGCTTCTGAGTCTAAGGAGACAACCAAGTAGGATCCCATCACACCCAGGTAACACTTCAAGGGATGCCTCTGAGAATGTAATCTATGTTCTTAACATGCCCTACAAACTCAAGCATGATCTGGCTTCTGCCAAACACTCTAGTTTCACCACAATCCACACTCCCCACTGATCCAAGCTCCATCACACTGGTCTTCTCTTGGTTCTTCAGAGCCAGCTGGCTCCTCCTGCCTCAAGAACTTACAGTCTGCCTTAAAAACCAGGGACTCCTCTTCCCCCACCTTTACCTTGCTGGCTCCAACTCACCCTTCAGACTCCAACTTAAAAGTCTTCCCTGACTCTGTATGGGCACAGTTCCTTTAACACTCTTGCCGACTCTCCTGGTGGCAGCCATCACTATTATAATTAAACTTCAATGTAGATGGGGGGTGAGTGCCTCCCCTCCCCTCTTGCACCCTCAGGATTGAGCCTATGGTCTGCCATAGCAATCTATGGTGATTCATGGTAACCTTGTGTGTAAGAGTAGAGGTATGCTCCATAGGGTTTTCAATGGTTGATTTTTTTTAGAAACTAGGTTGTTCTTCTAAGGTGCCCCTGAGTAGATATGAACCACCAACTTTCTAGTTAGTAGTCAAGTGTACTGTTCACACTACCCAGAGACTCCTATTGCCCTCAGTAAACATGCTGATTAGATAAGTGAACCAAGTACACCCATCTGGATAAATGCCAAGACACCTGGTACTTCTGCATGTCTGACTTACCAGAGAGTAACACTTGTTTAAGATTTAATGTGGTATAGTGAATTATCTAATGTCTCTTCTAGCCAAAGTCTGTAAGTCCCACCAAACAACCTAGCCTGCTGGGTCTGAACAACAGAAGGTGGGAGAAGATACTGATAAGATGACGTGATTCAGCAGTGGGTGCCAGCAGACTTCACTGTAATTGTACAGAGTTGAAACTCTTAAGCATGGGTATAACACGAACCATCTGAGAGAAAGGGGGTGGGGGTCGTCTCAGTACCATCAAAGATGAAAAGCTAGGAGTGGAGTGTATCTTTGGACCCTGAAATCCCTGCACACTGAACCTTCTCGACCTAGGGACAGAAAGCTGTGATGCAGAGGTGAGGCAGAGGAGCAGCAGAACCAAGAACCAGAAAACAAGACAGAACTATGGATTTCCTAGCCCACGGAGCAAGTAAAGCTGAGTGATTGCAGGCAGAAAGCTTGCTTGCAGAGTGGGGTATTTCTAGGCACTTCTGTGGAAAAGCTGGGTTTGATGACCCACGGAGCTAGAGATGGATGCCTTCAGGTTGAGTGGTGTGTCTTGTGGGCATTTATCAGCATCTGACTGGAACAACTGGGCCCTGAGCATTTCTGACACCATATTGTAAGCTGTTAACTTTCCTAATACACCCCAGAAACTGTATGTATGGTATCTTAAATTCTGTGTGGCCACTGTAATGGAGTAGAGTGGGCTGTGGGAGGAATCGTTGGTGTTTCATATTTTTGCACTAGTAATTCTGAAACATTAAGCCTGAATAGCAACACTTTATCTATTTGGCAAGACAGTGCTGACTTTGGTTCACCCTTTCAATACACAGATGGGGAAACTGAAACCCAGATGGGATGGGGACCTGCCCCGGATGACACAGCTATGAAGAGGTAGAATTGGTGAAGAGTCCAGTTACCCACTTCCTGATTTAGGGTACCTCCCACTATGCACAGACTTGGGGCAGGCAACCAGGATGAAGGTGCCAGCTGTGAGGGAGAACAGGGGCTAGTGGTAAAAGGACAGAGCCCAAAGTTTGTTGGGGGTGGAGATGGGGTGGAGTAGGTAGGAGCTGGATGGAGCTGCATGCTCTGCTGGGGTGACGGAGCTCAGATGAAGTGGCCTGGGTTACTTCCCACAATGACTGACAGAGATTAATAAAGACGCCAGGGAGGAATCATGCTCAGGCCCCCAAATGATAGCTATGCCATCACCCTAGTTACCTGGTATTAAACATAAGGAGTGAGATCTGGGAGCCACAGGTCTCCGATTCTGCCAACGACAACTTGTCCTAGCTTGTTACATTCCCGAAGAAACCTCATTAAAAAGAAACTCTCTGAGAACATCATTTGAGACTCTGGTTTGATACTTCTGCAAAAGTTTTGGCCATCAGAGTTGGAAAGGGTGACATGCTGCGCCTGCTGCTGGCAGACCCACGTCTCACTCCCCTTCAGAAGGACCACTCTGTACATCTTAAATGCACAAACGTGGGGGACGTCAATTCCTCTCCTGTTGGTGCCCATGAGAACGATGTTCAGTCATCTGGACCACAGAGCAGATGTGGCACACAGGCACACTGGCCTGCCCCACATGATTACAGCACTCAGTTACCGTCCAGTTGACTCCTATTCACAGAGCTCCGTAAGGTTCCCACAATGGCTGATTTCTCAGAAGCCAATGGTCAGGCGTTTCTTCTGAGGTACCTCCAACCTTTCAGTTAGCAGATGAGCAAGTTAACTGATTGCAACTCCCAGGAACTTATATGTTTACCTACCTCAATCCTTTCATTTCCATAGCAATGAGAGCTTATTACAGCTGCCTTGGAGATACAGTAAGTTTGCTTGGGGATCAGCAGTAGACAGGCTGCAGGGTGGGGACTTGTGCCCACTCCTGACCTACCACACCACTCTCCTTCCCAAAGGGTCTGAGGCCCCCTTACTTCTTTACCGACAGAAGGAGGAAAGGTAGTGGAGCAGCACTCAGAACGCATCCTAATTTCTCAGTGTTGAAGGTGCCACCTCTGTTGTCAGCGGATGCTGGGCCTAAGGGAAAGCCCTGTCAGCTGCTCAGAGATGAGGAATACATTACTGCTCCTCATTAAGACACTGTGAGGCCCAGCACAGGCAGCTCTCCTGCTGCCAAGGAGACTGTGACACCCCTTCACTGCCACAAGGCCTCCAGATTTGTCCCTTGGCAGGTGGAGTTTGTAGATGAGCAAGGATCCTACAAAGATGCTGTCTCCTACTAACACCTCCTCTTTGGGCGCTGCTTGGCAGCCCTACACCCTGCCTCCTCTTGGATAAAATGACCCCATTATAGACCATTTTCCCTAAGGGACAGAGGAGCCTTAGCCAGCACCTGTGGCTGCTTAAATCCTCAGTGCCTGTAACAGAGCCAAGCACTCAACAGGGGCTCCGTCTTTGCTAAGTGAGTTGAAGGCACTCAACACACCGTAGGGACTTTCTCCTGCTCAGATAACTGCATGGGTTTGACTGTGACGATTTACTTTGAAATGTAAAGAACTGTTAAGACAAAGAAACCCTAAGTTTAAATAAGGTAAAAACTCGCATTTGCAAGCCAGCCAAAAACGAAATAAAGGCCCCTTACAAAGAGTTTTGAGGGCTGTGCAAGCAGACTTCTGCACAGCTCCAAAGTCCTTAGCACATTGTATGGCCACAATACCCTTCACAGAGCCTAGACTTCCTTCCAGAGACGCAAGGAAGCTGAGCCACACCCAGGAGCCAAGCTTGCATCCCATGTTTATCAATAGGAGACAAAGACACATTTTCTATGAGCTAACTGAAGAACTGTTGATAGCTTTCTTGTCTCTGTGATTAAGGGAAATGAGAATGCTACTAATTAGCAGCTATATAATGCCAGAGAAATGTGTAAATGTCCTTCAGAAACAACCATCTGAAGAAGCTCCTAGGACCTGTCACAGATTATCAACACTCCATGAAAAATTCTCCTTGTAGGTTGCATAAGAAGTAAAAGGAACCAGAACCCAATTTCCATTTGCAGCTGCAATGCCCTTTAGCACAGGCCACAAATAAGGGAGTGCAGAGACCACAGTGGTCCAGGGTCCTCTCCAGAGACTTTTGGGGAAAACGAGGCTGGCTGATGAGATGCTGGTGGCCTGTGAGCATCAGGTGCCTGCCCTACTCAGAGCCCAAGGAACGGGGGAGATGTGGTCAGGTTACCATCTAGAAAGAACTGCTGTAGTTCCACTGGACAACTCTGTCAAGCTCTTATCTGTGAAATGGGGACATTGATACTCATTTCAACTCAAGAATCCTAGAATCTACTGCCAACAGGAAATGAACACCCTAGAATGCAGTGTTTTAAGATTGAACAGGATTCCTGTTGTGGCGTTGTAGCATCTACACAGGACTGCTAACCACAAAGTCGGCGGTTCAAACCAACCAGCTGTTCCTCAGAAACCTTTTGCACGGTGGCTATGAATCGAATCCCATTCAATGGCACTTGACAACAACAGTATTGAACAAAACTTACATACATGCTGAGGAAACTTCACATTGATACTTGAATTCTGTCTTGAGTATTGAGACAAGTTTCTGCTTGAATGATTCCAGTGACAGGGTGCTCACTACTTATACAGGCAGCCTGTTTCACCACTGACTCTTGCGTCTTCTTGTTCTTAAATGAAATTATCTCTCTCTGGCCATAAGTCTGTCTTCAGGCCTTAAATAAAGTGGCAGGGATATGGTAAGGTATGTGTGCAAGGGTGCCCAAAGATTGTTGGCACAGTACACATTTTTCCTAACTTGAAACCGCCTTCTTGATACTGGGTGAGTTAACTTTTAACCTGGAAAAGTAAAGCAAACCAAGGCATGTACCAAGCATTCAGAATTATTCATGGTTTGAGGTTTTCCTTTTACTACAAAAAGTAAAAGAATCTGACAGTGAGTACTCACTTATGTAGTAGGGAAAAAATGGCTGAGGAATTGTTCTTCCATTAACAGAGGTCCACACTGAGAGAGGAAGATGAGGGGCTATTGATCTCCCTCCTGCACCAAGCCTTGGATCGGAGATTTCCCCATGAGGGGAAACAGGCCAAAGAACAGAGAAAGCTCTTAGTCCCTCATCAAAACCCCTAGCTTCATTTGCAAGAGTGTGCAGAAATACAATCCAATTAGAGGTTGTAGTCAAAGGTAATTGAGAGAAAACTGATAAAATCCATTGGAGACAGAAGCTAAGCTATAGGCCACATGTTTGCCAAAGAGAAATGGGGAAAGTAGCAGAATAAAAAACAAAATCACGTTATCATCTCAATAGATACAGCTAACATCATACTTCATGTTGAGAATATATACTTTCCCCGAAGATTATGGAGAAGACTAGGATATCTTTTCTCACCACTCCTATTCAACACTGTGTTGTTTTGTTGTTAAGCACTGTCAAGTTGGTTCTAACTCATAGTGACCGTGTATAGGGTTTCTGAGGAATGGCTGGTGAGTTTGAACTGCTGACCTTGCCAGCCAGTGCTTTATCCTACAGCATCATACCACGACTCAACTGTTGTTGTTGTTGTTAAGTGCTGTTCAGTCCGTTACAACTTATACTAGATGTTAAATCAAGTAAGGACAGCTGGTCAAGAAAGAGAAATGAGGGGCAGATCAAAGATGGTAGACTACACAGATACACTGTTCAGATCCCTCTACAATAAAAGACTTGAGAAACCAAGTGAAACGGACTCAGGTGCACTGGGTGCCAGGCCCGGTGCACTGGGTGCCTGCCCACCCTGCCCCTCTGTGGAGGGCAGTGCATGCTCCCTTGGGGTAAGCCCAGCAATCTAACTGTAGCCATGTTTGGTGGTTAATGCTTGCACTAATACAGTGCCACTTCATTTTTGTTTTTTTGGTTCTTCTCTTTCTTCTTGGCTTTTCCCTTTCCCCCTTCCATGTTTTTTCCTTTTTTCTCTCTCTACCTCTCTCCTCTCCCCTTTTCCATACCAGGGAACGACTACCCTGGCCCCACCTCCATATTCAAAAGCATCTACCACTGACCCTCTGCATCTGGCAGTGCACAACCCTGGGGTGAGCACCGCATTCCTGGTAGCCAGCACTTATGCAACTTTGTGTCGCTTTCGGGTTTTGTTTTTTCCTTCTTTTTCTCTTTTTGACTTCTTACTTTTCCTTTTTTCTTAGGCCTTCATCCCTCCCATATATACACTCTTTCTCTTCCCCCTTTTGCTCTATGATGGTTGAGATACTGCGTATACAATATTTTTCATCTTCATTAAAAAAGACTGAGGGAGGAGAGAGGAATTCAGTCTCCAGAGAGGAAATGATGGTGTTTTTTGGTGATGGGAAGGCAACACCGAATGAGGGTGCTATGACACAGAACAACAGCAAAAACAACCAGAAACACATGTGTGGGTTTATTTGTTTATATGCATGTGTCTAGATATGTATGTATGAGTAGATATGAGGGGCGCTTCAAAAAGTTTGTGCAAAACTGGAATGTAAAGATAATAGAATTTTCCCACAAAAGTAATTTTGAAGCCCCTTCATATATATGCATGTATAGGTAGGTATATGCCCCTATGGGACTGCTTGCTGAGCACAGCCCATTAACCACTTACACCACCAGGGACCCCAGACAGTCCTAAGAGATTGCTAATCTCATGTTATTAAGTATTAAGTGCCAGTTTTTAAAACAATGAATGCATTAGCCCACAACAGCCCACATGAAAAATGAGAATGACAGCCTGTTCTCACCGTGGCGATGCCCTTGGCCTCCTGGTAGGTCACCTTGACAATGTCTGCGATGCTGGTGTTGAGGAAGAAGTAGCCAGAGCCATCTCTGATGTGGAGTTCTACCTGTGAGGAGGAAGATGCAGGAGGAGCTCAGGCCTGTGGTCATGCGTGGTTGTCCAGGCAATGTGGGACAGGGACAGGGGCAGGCTCTACCTGGACTCCAGGATGGTTATAGATGGTCACTTCCTCTGGACTCACTCTCACGTCCTCCACCAGAATCAGCTCGATGGAGGCTGACACCGGCACGAGAGAATCATACTGCACAGGTAAAGACAAAGCCATCAGGCCCAGCGCTGGGCTGCCTGCAGGACCCCATGGAGAGAGCAGGACTAGAAGTCTCATGTCCTGGCATCACCCAAGGCCACACAAACTACAACCTGAGCCCAGCTTAAGAGCTACTTCCTGTTGAAGGTATCCCTGTACCCACCAAGGTGAAGTGCACAGCTGCCTCCTCTGTGATCATCAGAAAGTGGGGATCACTCGGCCTGCTTCAATGTCTTCTTGCCAACCCACCCAGAAAGGCCACACGTGTTACACTGGGATGGAGAGTGATTCTCACATATACCCTGAGTGATGGTTATTTTATGTGCCAACTTGGCTGGTCTATGCTGTTTAGTGGGTTGGTCAGACACTATTCTAGTTGCTCTCATGGAGTAGCTATGCTCATGAAAGAGGCGGGCCCAGTGGAGAGAGATGGATTGTGTGCACACAGTGTTGGGGGGTTTCTGGGTCGAGAGGCGGGAAGCATAACAAACTTGGGGGTATGTGGCAGTAGTTCTTCCTTGCCAGGGCTCAGGAAGATTCCCTAGAAGACCCAATAGTTTGGCTGGGACTGAGGATAAAAGGTCACCAGTGGAACAAGACAGAGGACAGGGAATGGCACTCCAGGTGGAGGGAACAGCATATGAAGCACTTTGGTGCTGTGAGGCAGGTGTAGGGGTGGCAGTGGACAAGCAAGCCTTAGGTGAGAAGAAGGACGTCTTCAACCTCAACGACCTGAGGACAACCAGAGGCTCTGGGCAGAAGCTGAGAGGTACGGAATCATCTGTACCATGGATCAGCCCTACAGCCTGAGTAGAGGGCTCGGGGGTGGGCAGTCCGGGGTGAAGAGGAGGAGCAAAGTGGTGAACTGAGGCTGTGGTCCACTGAGGAGGCTCAGGGCGGAACACTCAGACATGAGGCAAAATTTGTACAAAAGTAGGACAACACTCCATCCTCACCACCCCACCAGCAGGTCCAAGACATACCGGTTGCTTGGCCCTGGCTGCGCTGAGGTGAGCCTGCTGGTAGCCCGTCACAGTGGCAGAGATGGCTGTGGTTCCCGAAGCCTCATGCACTGAGATGGCCTGCAAACCTGAGTCCAGGTTGAGAAACCAGTGTTTTTTTCTGCTTCATTGCTGCCTCCGAAGCTGCCCCACTCTATCCCAATGTGAAAATTTCTTCCCAAATCTCCAGTCCTAAGAATGCAGTTTGTTCAGGCTGTCTGCACCATAAGAGTTCACAAACCATGAGCAAACCTCTGTGGAACAACTTAGATGAGTTCCAAGTGATGGACTTAACTCTGAGCTGCTCAAGAGTCTTGAAGGTGGCATGATACAAAGGAGCCCAGGTATTGGAGTCAGGCAGGTTTGTTTTGGAATCAAGATGGAATTTACCTGGTAGGTACCCCAAGCTTCAACTCTCCATCCCTAATAGGAATCCCAATCCCTACCTCACACCATTTCTATGCTGGATTCAGTGACAACAGTGAGCTTGTGAGCTCCCAACTTTTAGTCCTGGAAAAAAGCAGTACTATTTTATAAGCCACTCTCCATACACCTGGCAGATACCAGCCCGCTCAGCACAGCATGCTTTTTGTTTACTTAGGATTCTCAAACTACTCTTCTTTTACTCTTCCATGGGCCACTCAAGCTTGCCAGCCCAGCTTACCATGCAATTTCTTCTGGCCGCTCCCATCATCCTGGGACACCAGCTGCATGGGCAGGTTATGTTCGATGCTGGCCAGCTGTGGCCTGGTGGACTCCCACTGGATGCTCAGTGAACTGAAGTTGTCGAATCTGCGTCCCTGCTGGTCATAGGCAGCCAGGTTGAGCAGAGGGTTGCGGTGGTTGGAGACTGGGACCTGTACGAAGCCAAGCATCAGTTAACACAGTTTTGGCCAGTACTGGGCATGCCTGCTTGTTTTCTTAATAGTGTATTGTGTTTTTAGTGAAAGTTTACACAGCATTTTAGGTTCCTATTCCACCATTTCTACACAAACTGATCAGAGACACAGGTCCATCCTTTGTAATACATGAACATTCAAATTACTCCCATTCTGATTGTTCTATTTCCATTCATCTGGTTTCTCTGCCCCCTTACTCATCTTTGTTTTATCGTCATTGTTTAATGTTGGGTCTCATATACTACCTTTCAGAAGGTATGCAGTACTCATGGGTGATACTCTTCATTTTGTGAGTAAAATCTTATTTAGCTAAAATATGACCTCATGGGCCAGTTTACAGGTTGGATAGTATCTTAGGGCCATAGTCTCAGAGAGTCCTCCAGTCTCAACTGGTCCAGTTAAGTCTGTTTATTTGAAGGAATGTGAGTTTTGATTCCACAATCCACTCTATCAGGGTCCATCTATTGTGGCCCTGATCAGATGAAGGCCTACTCTTGACCAAAGGCAAACTGTGAGCTTGGCCAGCTATTCTTGGTGGGTCTGGGGGAATCCTGGGAAAGGAGTGGGAAACAGCCACTCTCATCACTGTTCACTACTGCCCAACCATCAAGGTCCCAAAGACCCTGTCCAAGCTGGCTCACTCCAGGCTCATTTTTACCCCTGGAGAGCATTTTGGCAATGTCTAGAGTAATTTTTTTTTGACAGTCATGACTGGTAGGTGGTGCTACTATATACCCTCAGTGCACAGGCCAGCTCCCCCAGCAGTGACCCAGCCCAGGGCCAATGGTACCAATGTTGGGATATCCTGCTGCAGACCTCCCCCCAGTAGCCAGTTTCCACGCTGTCTGCTATCCCCCCCGACAGACACCTGGTTCCTCATAGGGGTTTCCCCTGATGGTTTAGTTTGAATGCTGGTTACAGCGACTAAAATGTTTCAAGCTTTTTGGTTTGAAAAGCACTTTCCAGAACCGATTTCTCACCTGATCCTTAACATGTCATGGCATGTTACAGAAGAAGAAAGGTAGGGAACAGAAATAAAGGATCTCATGAGAGGAACTCAACCACTGAGCAGTACAGTGGATTTGTTGCCTGAGAACTCAGGTTCTAAGCCAGTCTTGCTACCTTAGACCACAAGCTCTCACAAGTCATGTGGCTCAACCTCTTCCCTCCCTGAGCACACAGCGTAAGGGCAGGGAAGGAGGACAGAGAACCAGAGGCTGAGTGTACAGGCATCTGAGTCCTGAAGCCCCGGGTTCCCTTCTCACCACCAAGGCAAGTCACTAAGTCCCCTGAGCCTTAACTTTCCAATCTATGAAGGTGGAACCACACAGACCCTATCTTGTGTGGTTTTTTGCTTTGAATGAGGATTGTATGAGATCATTCTAGAGTTCAGCTCATCTTGAGCAAGCACTCAAGTAAGGACTCCACATGGTCATCAGTAATTAACACTGCTCACAGGTATTTCTAGTTCTCCTCCCAGGACCAAGACCTAGACAGTTAGTACTGACTGTGCCACTTGCTTTGGCCAGAGAAACGAGGCATCTGACTGTGAAAGCTCCAGGTGAAACCTCTAGAGGCCAGATCATGACCTGCCAGGCTCTCAGTGGTAACTGGTCATGTTCAAGATTGTAGATGCTCAGGATGAAGACAATCACCACATGATGTGGGGTCCCCCAGCCATCCCATGATGGGTATGCAGCATCAGCTAGACATGAACTTGTGTGGTGTTACGGCTCAGAGTCAAGTCTCATCTATCCTAACTGATAGAGCCACCAAACTCCCTACTTCCACCACAGAAACTCCGCCCCCACCACGGTGCCAAACACCCGCGGAATATTTGCCTGAACGCTGCACAGTCTAACCGCATGTATTCCTAACAACAAGCCAGCATAGCCGCCAGAGCAGACAAATGTTCTGAATTATAGTTGACATGAGTTGGAGGGATATGTTTATGGGGCAGGGTCCACAAGGGACACACTCTACATGTGACATTCCTTCCTCTAGATGCAACCCTGGGTAGACTACCTATCTTCCTCCCTGCCCTGTTCCTCTGAAAGGGTATCAACATTGCAAACAAGCATGCTCGCACGTTCACTGCTCCTGCTGGTGGCCACTAGAAACAACATTATGCTCATTTTACAAATGGAGAAACTGAGACTCAGAGACATTAGCAATTTTCACAAATGACTCAGAAGTTCAGGGAGGAGGAGCTCAGCTGGACTGATGTGAAGGCCCATGGTACTATGCAGCCCTCCCCAGTGTAGGAGGTGGCGCTAACCTGGCTAATCCATCTCCTGGTCAGTGGCATTGAGCTGAGCTGAGTGTGGACAGCCTGCTCCAGGGGCTCAGGCCCAGCTAGTCTGACTCCACTTTCTCAGAAAACTCTGATCAGATCTTACGGTTCTGCTGTCTTGCTTCACCAATAATTTACTCTGGAAATACTGCTTGGGTGGCCTCTGGATGTGGACAGGTATAAAATAAACTTGAAATTGTGCCCAAGATGAATTGCAAGGATATTTTTTCCAAGGTCCCCTAATGAGACCATAAATCACTGGGGCCAGGGTTGAGTGGTTCACGGATCCTGACCCCGAGCACTGACGGATCACAAGGCAATTCTGTGTGCCAAACCCACTGTTTCCTGGAAAGATCTATGACCTGCACAAGCCAGCTCACAGAGCCAGGCTCGAGAGACAGGCTGCGTCTCTCAGTCAGAGACAAAAGCAAAAACCAAGCCTATTATTGCCGAGTCAATTCGGCCTTACAGCGACCCTGGAGGGCAGAAGGGAAGTGTACACAAGGTTTCCAAGACTGTCATCTTTGTGAGTGGACTGCCACATCTTTCTCCCAAAGAGCAGCAGGTTATAAGTCCCAACCACAGACCTTAGGGTTGCTTAATCACTGTGCTACCAGGGTTCCTTGAAGGAAGCCAAGTCTGTGCTAATCCAGAGGTCACAGGTGAGAAACAAGCAGGTAGAAACTCAGTCCACGGTTATCAGCCAATGTTTAAAGACGGAAGAAATGGGAAACAGTGTGGCAGTCCCATTTCAAATGTACACATAGAACTACTGTATGACCCCGTAGTTGCACTCCTATATCCCAAAGAACCAAAAGCAGAGACTCAAAACCCCAGTGTTCACAAAAAAGATGAAAGCCACCTATTTCCATCAACAGATGACTAGACAAACAAAATGTGGTCTACACATACAACAGGGTACTCAAGCACCATGAAGAGAAGTAAAATTCTGGTACAGGCATGCTACAACACAGATGAACCTCGAAAACATTCTACTGAGTGAAACAGCCACAAAAGGACACATGCTATATAATGTAATTATGAGGGGACTTCAAAAAGATGATGGAAAATGGGATTAAAGGATAAAAATTTTTAAACACAAACTTTTTCAATATCAGCTCCATCAAGGTCAAGATACTTTTATAAGCAATGATACCAGTCAAGAACTGAGTGTCCTGGAAATGTAACCATGTCAATGAAGTATTTTTTACATTTGTGGGGAAAATGAAGTATTTTTTACTGTGGGGAAAAAAAGGGGGTGTGCCCTCTAAAGAATTTTTTAAGATGGTTGTTGTTGTTACTATTAAGTGTCAAGTCGATTATGATTCATATTAACCTTGTATAGGGTTTCTGAGGAGAGACTGGTGAATTTAAACCACTGACCTTGAAGTTCAAATGGACTTAAGGTCCAGTATAGTATCATACAGTGCCAAAGAAACAAAAAGATGTCAAAGCATTTTCTGCGAATGCTTTGGCCAACATTCTAAAAAATGTCTCACCATCCACAGTTGTTATTGTTTTTTGGCTCCCCCGAAAGTCAAACAAAATGCCTTGAGCATCTCAAAAAGCTGTTGCCATGACCTTAAGGTGCTGTTGACTTGTCTGCTTCTGCTTTGACTGGGCCACTTCCACCTGTTGGTACACATTGTTTTGGTTGTGTTTTGTCTTCACAACCATACTGGTAAAGTCATGTTTCATTTCCTATTACAATTCTTCAAAGAACTGCTTCAAGATCTTGATCGCACTTGTTTAAAATTTCCACTGAAAGATCTCACCTTGTCTGCAGCCGATCTGGGGGCAGCAGTTTGGCATCCATCAAATGGAAAGTTTGCTCAACTTTAGTTTTTCAGTCAGAATTGGGGAAGCTGAAGCAGTTGAGATGTCTGTGGTGTCGGCTACTGTTTCTGCTGTTAATCATTGGTCCTCTTCAAATAGGACATGAACAAGGTTGTTTTCTCACAAACTGATGTGAAGAACCACTGCACGCTCTTGTTTCTTCTTAAAATGAGTTATGCATTGGTAAACTGCTGGTTTCAGATGATTTCACTATTCTCCCACCCAAGCTTCACCATAAACTAGATGTTTATTCTTGCTTCACTTTTAGTAGAATCCAAGTTGTTCTTATGGGGCACTTTTCAAAATGATATTTGATTCCTTTAGTGTGCCAAACTAGATCCTGTTCAGACATGCTATAAGTTAGTCTGAGTTTACTTGGATGAAAACAAAACAAAACAAAAGTCCATGCATAGTTCATTCATACTATGCATTTTCCGTGAACTTTCTGAAGCTCCCTTGTATATCAGATATCCAGTATAGATAAATCCTTAAAGCCAGGGGCTGAAGGAGAGGGTGATGGATGAGTCATTGATTAAGGAGCACCAAGTTTCTGTTTGGGGTGATGAAGACGTAGATAGGTAATGGTGAAGGTTTGAACAACATGATGAATGTAATTAATATCATTGCCTTGTATAATGAAAATGGTAAAGTTTTTGTTTTACAGTGAAACCTATGAGTTGAAACTTGGAACTGCCTTGTTTTCCCAGGTCTCATAAGTTTTCTGACTGTGGTGGGGTATAGTCCTATCACTTTGCTATCGCTTGTTTTAATGGAAAATATTTTGAGTTTCCTTCTCTGACATGCTTTCGTCTTACATTATGTATAGGTT